CTTTTCAAACAAGCCTCGTCTTTTTACTTCAATACCTACAACTTTTACTCTGCTGTAACCCCGCAATTCTACAGCATTTTCTTCAGCATTTTGTGCTAAAGACCTGAGGGCTCCCGTTCGCTTTCTTAAATGTACGAAAAATTATTTCAAAAGACCGGAAAAAATGATTTATACGCACAACACACCGGGCCCCACCTCTTCTCCGTTTACCTAACATGCGACGCATACGCGGATGTAATTTATTTTCTTGTTTTTACGCTAAACGAATAAGTGTAACTGGGGGATTTGCGAGATTTAGATTATAAAATTGTAAAAATATGCAAATTTCTTAAATTTAGGTTTTTTGTTTTGAAAGTTTTGTTTGGGGAGGGGGGAAGAGGGTAGAAATGGCCTTTCTGGGTTCTGTAAGTTTGGCTCGTACGTAAAGTTGGGGGTAGAAGAAGAGAGAAAAAAAGGTAGGCCGGTGCTTTTGTTTTTTCTCTTTTATCACTCTTTACATTGCCCTGCTCTACTTGGACTATACCTTTTTACTTTACCTTACTTATGACAATATTTATATAAAAATAATTCACTATTTTACTTATTATAACATCAAAATTCAATTTACACTTAATAACGTTAAGTTCCATTCATCGTTACTATTTTTAGTATTATGGCGTAAAAACACGACTATTTAAGGGTTATTGTTTTTTTATGACATCAAAGGCAGTGACCGTGAATGCATCGTACTTGAACGTGATGCCACAAAAAGAGTGGTAACTAGTGGAATATCGGTTTTTAATTAACAACTCATTTATACTACCCTACCCTACCCTACCCTACTCCACCCTACCCTACCTTACCTTACCTTACCCTACCTTACGTTACTCTGTTTTACCTTATCCTACTCTAACTTAATTTAATATGATACTATCGAGTACGTGACTTATGAAGCTTTTATACCACAGTTTTCTTCCTTAATTTGTCGGAATTTGATGAGAACGTTTAAGGATTCGAAATATGGACAGTGTTAGATCTTTGAATAAAGCATATTAGACTAAAGACTAGGCCAGAAAGAATGATATGAAGTATTATTGAAGACAAAAATAAGAAGAATAAGGCCCATTAAGCAGCACTAATGTGCGGGTTTTATTGGTAAACACAAGGTTTTTGGGGTGGAGGATTCGCAACAAACGTTTTTAACACTTTCAAAGTGGCATGACTTTTGTTTTTGGCATTTTCCAATTTTTTTTATTTTAAAAATTTTAAAAATTTCAAATCGTACTATGCTAAAGTACTATTGAGTACGTAATTTTTAGGTTTAAATTTTCAGAACCAAAGACTTAATTTTTAGCCTATAATATATATTACATTGTTCAAATAATTTTGTGCTCCTAACATCAAAAATTTTTAAAAATTTTGACATAATTATTTGAAAAGATTTATAAATTTTTGTTGCCTAAATTTTCTGTTATAAATACATATACCTATATAAGATACCCGAACTTCTTAGTACATATTGTTGACTATGCCAGTTTCTAACTTTTGTTGACTGGTCAAACCCATTTATGTTGTTAGTCCGTTTTAATTTAATTATAAATAAAATTATATTAAAGATTTATAACTCTGAATTCAAAAAACACCTGTCAACGTTGTATACAGCTTCAAACTAAAGTTACTTGCATTTTTGATATTCTTTACTATTGAGTTTAGGGTCTTAGCTTTACTACAATACTTTAAGCTTGTAGTACGATGTTAAAGTGTCGTATATACTACAATACTTTAATATGGCATAGTCTTGTGTTAGGCACTTTAAGATAGAATAGTATTGTGTTAGTTATAAAAGTCTTACGGGATATTGTTTTATTGTTTTACTAGTTATAAAGCGACAAAACCTTTTAAAATCTGTATAAACAGAAGATTTTACCCGTATTAAAAAGTACTTTATTCTACTCTATTATCATCCTATACAGCATAGTCTTTTTAAAATTTTGATTGACCAGTTATCTTTATAAAGTCGTCCTTAGGTAAGAATAATGTAGTTTTATAAATCTAAATTTGAAAGTGTAACAAAGTACGTCAATAGTTAAACATAATAGCCAAAAACATTCATAGAGTCGTTACGAAGTCAAGAGTATTACCTAATTAACGACCGTTTAAGTTTAAAGAAACTTTTTGAACTCTTTGAAACTTTAATGGCTAGATTTTTTATTCGGAGGTCAATTTTTTTATTTATTTGTTTTATATTGACAAGAACAAAAAATTTTCAAAACTTTTTTACCCTACCTTACTCTACTCTACTCTACCCTACGTTTTTTTACTAAACCCTACCTTGTCTTATTCTATCTTATCCCTTGATCAAATTTTAAATCAGAAACAGTTGTAAAAAAAAGATGTTAACTACTATAGTATTACATAGCTTTCCAAGTCTACAAGTTTAACTTGACGTATACAAAATTCTATAAAAAGCACTTTGAAACATAGTTGTACTCGAAAAAAAGATAATCGTATTACCATTCTCAATCCAATCTTTTTTGATAGCCTTATTTTGTTTCGAGTACTATATAGTATGATACTTGTTTTTCTTTCAAACTTTCAATCTTCTCTATCAAATCTTGATTTCCCTACAAAATTATTATATGACGTTACTTATAAATATGTATATGCTTGTACACAATCTATAATGTTGTTTTCAAAGTCAATACAAACTAGTGAGTACCTTTTGAGTATCAAGTTTACACTTTGCCTAACGTGACCCACCCTCCCCTTCCCCTATATCAACAAAATACTTACCTTTCTCGTGGAAAAACTTTTTAAAAACAAATTTTGAGAAAACAAACTTTTAAATGAAAGAAGTTGTACGAAGGAAGGGGGTGTTTTGATGCCCAAATTACACTTTTTGGGAATTTTGAATACTCGAAAAAGATCCGATTTTAATGCTTTTTTTGGGTGTAGAACAACAAAAATACAAAGTTTATAATGGGGCTGGGGTAGATAAGGAAGTAGAGATGAAGGTGGATTAGAGGTAAAATAAAATTAATTTCTTAAACTTTTTTTTTATTTTCAATTTTTTAATGGTTTTTTGACTTTTTTTAATCTACCCTACCATACCCTATGCTATACCCTACTTTTACGATGCTTTACCCCAACCTACCCTACCCTACCCTACTCTACCCTACCCCCCCCCCATTCTTGCCATACTTCAATCTTATCATACCTACCTTATTCCCCCTTTTTATATCCTATTTATCTTGTCCTAACTGTCTACTCTACCCTTACTATAACCTTCCTTTATCCTATCATGATCTATCCTTACCATACTTTATTTTACCTTACTTTCCTTACGTCAGCTTACCTTTCTAGTCTGCCCTGACCATACCCTACTCTTAACCTCCTTACTTTACACTTAACGTACGCTACTGTACCTTTACCATACCCTGCCCTATTTCATCTTACCTTATTCTAACCTACCTTGCTCTACCCTCTTTGCCTAGCCTTATTGTAGCTCGCACTATTCTTACTTTGTCATACTCATTTCTTCCTTTCTCCTAGATTATTAATGCAAAAAAAAGTTATGCGCGGTTATCAATTCGGATTCTTAATAAGAAGCCTTTGCAAATAAACGATCCCATTTTATTTGCACTTTTAATGTAGTTGTATGGGCAAGACAAAACAATTTGCTAATTATTCTGACTTCACTTTCTGACTCCAAACGCTGCTCTTCTCTGCATAGAGCTCTTTTCTCAAATTGACATTGTTTATGTATTTGAAAACAAAACTTTTTTTAAATTTTTGGGCTTGAAAACTGAACTTAAAGTTGTAGTATGGTACTGGTCAAACTGATAGGGTATGCTCTCCTTTTTCTATTTCTTACCTCATTTTACCCTTAAGCTTTAGACTAGAATGAATTTTTGAGCCCAGTCGAAAGAATATTCATTCGCTCTATTAATACTTCTTCCAATTATGCCCTGCCCACTATTTTTTTGTCCGGCCAGCCTTATGTTTTAACTTTGTGTTGACATTTTGTTACCTAAAATTTAAAAAAAAATTTGAAATTTTTAATTTAAAAAAATTTTTTGTGTTTTATAATTTTAAATCAAAAAAAATTTGAAAATTTTAAAATTTTAAAATTTCAACTTGAAAATTTTGCCATTTCAAAAAATTCAAAAAAACCTTGTCTCACGCTCACCTTTACACTACTTTCTGTTCATTTACACATTTTTTTCCGCCCCGGGCATATAAAAAGGGCTTAAGAAGGTATTGGGTTTGAAACTGGGCTGGTTTTCTGCACGCTTCGCCACACGTTTTTTGTCGTACTATTCGAGTGTAAGGTAGTGGGAAGGTGCGAAATTACTTTTGTCTTATTACGTAGTTTTAATGTTACTTTCTTGCGTTCTTCAGCGGTGTATAATGTTGAAGTTTTGAAGTTTTTTGAAATTTATAGTTAGGATTTTAATTTTTTTTAATTTTGAAAATTTTAAAAAAAGTTTTTGAAGCCTGGAGGGCATTTTTCTGAAGAAAACAAATTTTTTAATTTAAAATTTAAACTTGATAGGGGGAGGGAAGGGTAAACTAAATTTTTTTTTTGAAAATGAAGCCAGCTTAAGTCGTATTTTACAATAATTTTGTAAGTATTTCTTTTTGAACGTGCTTTAAATGCTATATATTATGCTATTTAGTTGTATAAAAAAGATTGAGCTACTCTAACTTCACGTGAAACGTAGCTCAAACTTTTCTATACAACTTAATATAATTTTTTGTACAACCTGACACTATAATATGGTTGTTCAAATAGTTCTCTGCCTCCTTTCAAAGCAAAATTTCAGGGTTAGAGGGCACAAAGTTATTTGAACAACCCAATAGAACCTTCGCGAATTTTTGTGACATTTCGTTAAAAATTCCAAACCCAAGTGCAACAACACCTATATCAATTATTTTCAGGCCTTTTTTAATTATTCATACTGTAGTGTGCAATAGGACATAGAAACTGGTAAAGTTGAAAGTTGGCCACACGTTTTACAATGGGAAAACCCAACAGTAAACTGAAGACCGAACAGGTGAAAACATTGGCCAAACAGACCTACTGTACGTTTCTTTTTGACATTTTTAAATTGAATTTTTTAGATTTTTTGAAAAATGATGTTTTTTGGGAGTGGAAAGAAAGTTTTTGCATTTTTTCTAAAAATTTTTTTTTTGAAATTTATTCACCTTGCTCTACCCTTCTCTATCATACTCTACTCAACCTACTTCATTAGTTCCCTTGGAAACAAAGTTTCTGCATAAATTTTTAAAATTTAAAATTTTATAGTTGCAAGGTTGTAGAGAACATCGTATTTTACAATAGATTTCAGTCACAGAGAAAGAGATTCGACAATGGTACAAAGGGTTTGTCAGGGATTGTCCGAATGGAATGTTAACAGAAGCCGGCTTTCAAAAGATCTACAAACAGTTCTTCCCGCAGGGCGATCCATCCGAATTCGCCAGTTTTGTGTTTAAAGTTTTTGATGAGAACAAGGTAAGCTTATTTTCTACATTAGTTTTGTGTTGGTTTTGTTGTTTTACTTATATTGACATTGTTTTATAAAACTTGTACGAATTTCAAAAAAAGCAATAATTTTTGTGACATTTCGTAAAATTTAAAAAGCATTTTTAAAGACTTCGAAACTAACAAAAAGGCTTTTTAATTTTATAAATAAACATTTTTAAACATTTTTAAAAAATCAATAACATTTGTGACATTTCGTTACACTAGTTCATTATAATGCTTAAAATAATATATAAAATGAAAAATGCTGATTAACAATATTAAACGTGATCTTAAATTTTTGGAAAATCGATATTTTTTGTGACATTTTGTCATTTTTTGTTTGTAAAGGCGATATCTTTTTTAACATTTCGTTGTTTTTGATTTTTATAAAATTTGGGTTTTGATGGCTTATTTATAACACAAGAGAACAGTTTCTGACAATACTTTTGACGTTCTTTATCAACATTTATTATCTCAATTACCTTCAGGACGGTGCAATAGAGTTCCACGAGTTTATCCGAGCACTTTCGATCACTTCCCGAGGCAATCTGGACGAGAAGCTACATTGGGCCTTCAGGCTTTACGACCTGGACAATGATGGTTTTATCACACGGAATGAAATGCTGTCGATTGTTGGGTCGATTTACAAAATGGTCGGGGATTCGGTGAAGCTGCCGGAGGAGGAGAACACCCCCGAGAAGAGGGTGGATCGGATCTTCCGAATGATGGATAAGGTAAGGTAGTGGTTTCAACGTTATACTTTTTTTGTTTTACATGGTTTTATGGCGTATTTTACAATTGAATTTAAGAAAATTTTGCGTTTTGGTTTTTTTAATAATCAATATTTTTTGTGACATTTCGTTACAAGTTTAGGTATCACAAGAAGCAAAACATAAGAGACTGAATTAAATAGAAAATAAAGTTTAAATAAGACTTTTATTTTTTTTTATAAGTCAATGTATTTTTTGACATTTTGTTTAAAAATCCAATAATATTTGTGACATTTCGTAATATTACTTTCAAATGCTTAAAACACACTGTCGATTGCATAAAAATATATAAACTGTTTATTAACGTTAATTAAAGTAAAAAAACAAAACGTATTTTAAATTAGAAAACCAATGCTTTTAGTGACATTTCGTCGAAACCTAAAATCTTTTTTTAAATATAAAAATAAAACTAAAAAATTTCAGAACAATGATGCTCAATTAACGCTAGACGAATTCAAAGAAGGTGCAAAAGCCGACCCGTCCATAGTACACGCGTTGTCCTTATACGAAGGTCTTTCCACTTAGCGACAACTTTAAAATGGTACTGGAGAAGAAGCATTTATCAAATGTTTTTGTATAAAATTACATTTTTATTTGTCGTCAAACGCAATTTTCTTGCATTTTCTTGTTGTTATGGCTATTTGACATTGCTTATTCGACTTTAGGATTACTTGACACGAAATGTCACAAACTGAAATAGAACATCAAATACGACAAAAAATTTGAAATAATGAAGAAAAATGACATAAAATAACAAAAAATGTTTAAAAATCACCGCAAATGTCATAATTTCCCAAAACTTTAACCTTGCGACACTTCGTCTACAAAAGCAATACTTTTGAAAAAAATAGCAAAAAATGTAAGAAAATTGTATTTGCCACTGTTTGTTTATATTACTCATGAAAAATTTGCATACCCATTGGAATTGTTACTTTTTTGTCTAATTACCGGTTTTTGTTTACAGTTTTATGTGTGTGACATACCGTAACCCAACACGAACAAAGCGTGTCATAAGCTAAAAATTTACAATTTAATATCTTGGTGTAAACATAAGTTTGTAGGCTTTAATGTCAACATGATTTTGTGTTTTTGCATGTCATATCATATTGTATTGTACAATATACGATACATTGTACTTAATGCCATGTTAAATTGTACAATATGTATACGGAAAAAACATGACATTTAAACTCTGAAAGCTGACAAAAATATATTCTTTAAATAAGAAAAAGTGTTTTACTAGTCGTATTTTACAACTAAGAAGTAAGGTATATCACACACGTATTGTATTATACACCATCTTCTATAGTATTATAACTAGTCAATTATGGAGCTTTATTTGTAAAGCAATTTTACATCGAAATTGGAATAAAATCGAAAAATTGTTGCTTATTTTTTAATGTTGAAGACTGGTTTTTTAAATTTGAACACAGTCGGTTGTAGCGCCGACTAATAAACAACCGATTTCAGGTTCGACCAAGCGCTCTGCACGACTGAGAATGAAAGTGCCTAACCTGTAACTCTCAGAATCTGTTTAAAATTTTTATATGAATTCGTTGTACCACCCATAGTACTCGTAAAACATTTTAACATGCGCTTTTAAGTTTTAAAATTTAAATATTTGAGTTTTCCGCCAATTCCACAAATTTGGCATAGTGTTTCAATCACTTTTTTGGACTTTCCAGGCAAGCTATGATTTAAAAATGTATGTCTATTTAAAGGTTTTCTATTAATATATCAAAAAAAATAATTAAAAATCAAAAAACGACAACGTTATAATCTTAAAACACAATGCCAATTTGGCGGGAAATTTAAAACGTCATTTTTGATCTCCACTACCTCGAGATTTTCTGGAAAACTCGATTTAGTATTTTGCTGGAAATCTTACATTTACATTATCTTTCTACATAAAAATTTTGAAGTCAATCGTAGATACAATACTGTATTTATTAAAAGCATAGTAATGGTAGTATATTTACATCTCTTGCATCTCATATTATATTATAAATTCAAAAAAGTATCATTGCTTCTGATTATACTCTACAATCCGTTTTCTCAAGGCTTCCAATTTGGAATGGAGCTCATGGTGATCTTGACGGCATTTGTAAAAATCCGCATCTGATTCGTATCTTTCATGAAGTTGCTGAAGCTTCACGTATTTCTAAAAAAAAGCAAATTACATCGTACATCATTGTATGAAATTTAAAAATTTTTGAATTTTAACGTTTTTTTAACTTTTTGTTAGCACAATATATTAATTAATAATTGAGTTTACAAAGTGCGCCAAAAGTTCTGTTACACAGTTTTTAGCAACTGAATTATAAAGTAATTACCTCAACTTTATCCTCAGGCTCAGCATTTTTGTATGCTTTCTTCAGTTCAGCAAATTCATCATAGACTTTGGTCAGCATATTGTTATATTCAATGTAAACAGGGTATGCGTTCTAAAACATAATAAGATGTTAAATATGTATTGTGTATAATTTAATTTTGTAAATTACGATTAATAAAGTATTTTTTAATTTAAAAAAAAAATTTCAGCTTTAAAAAGTTACATGTCTGCTTTTTTCGTACCGTATAAATATTGTGCAATGTATTAGGTACCGACATAAAGAACCCGCCATACTTTTCCTGTAAGTTCCTGTTAAAAATGGCGGGTTCTTTATGTCGGCACTTAATAATGTAAAATTTATTACAATATACTTTTAAAAACAAGTTTGTATTACTTAGTAATCTACAACAAAAAACTAACCTCAAACAAGTCGGTGTATAGTTTACACTTCTTGTCGTTCTTGATTTCAGTGAAAACATAGTTCCAGTCGGTTGAACAAGCTATTTTTGAAGTCAGAGCTCTTATGGTCGATTTTTCTGTATTTATTGTGTTTGGCCTGGCTTCTGAAGTTTCAGTCGTTGGTCTGTCTTCTGGATTAATCGCTGTTGATTTGGCTTCTGAAGTTGTCATCGTTGCTCTGGATTCTGATGTTATCGAAGATGGTCTTCTTGCTTCTGAAGTTACCGTCGTTGATTTAGCTTCTGAAGTTATTGTCTTTGGTTTGGAGTTCGAGTTCTTCGCCGTTCTGCCTTCTGAAGTAAGCGTTGTCGATCTGGGTTCTGATGTAGGCAACGTTGATCTTGATCCTGAAGTTTCCATTGTTGATCTAATTTCTGAATTCACTCCGCTTTGCTTTGATGTTACTACTCCTTCTTGGACCTTGGCATCAACTTTCCTTTAACTTTACTGCTTGTTTTCGTATCTGCCATGTCAGACTTCTTCGTTTTCTTTGACGCTGGTCTTATTGGTGTAGCGAAATCGTTTTTATTGCGGCTTGATGTCTCTGCTGATCTTTTCCTGCTACTGTCAGATATTTTAGTATCTTTATTTTTGGTTTGCTTCTGAGACTGTAACTCTGCCATCTTGACTACTTTTTGTTGTGCAGCGGCAAATGAGTTGTTGGTAGCGTTGATAACAAGCTTTGTATTTAGTGGAGAAACTTTCTTCAATGACTGTCCTTGACTAACAGCATCAATATCGCCATTCAAACGTTGTTGATTACACGTAAATGTGGCAACTGAAGTGTCGCTGATACCAACTTCAACTTTAACTTCCTGAAAAGGTATAATAATAGATTTGTTATGTTTTATATAAGAAGATGCTTGCCTTTGACTAGCTTCAAACTTTTTTTAAAGAAAGGTCATGTAAATATAAGATCTTTAGCAAAGTACTGAACTGCGTTTTCCAATCAATGTCAAGAAAATCAAGATCAAAAAACAAATTTTTGAATTTTGAATTTCCCGCCAAATTGGCATTGTGTTTCAAGCTTATTTTTATGTCATTTTTTAACTTTTAATTAGTTTTCCTTTGTGTACTAATAACAAACTTTTAAATGAACTTAAATTTGTAAGTTTTTAAGCGTAGCTTGTCTGGAAAATTGAAGAAATACTTGAAACAAAATGCCAAATTGACGGGAAACTTAAATATTTATAATTTAAAACTCAAAAGCACAAGCTAAAATGTTTTATGGGTGCTATGGGTAGTAAAAAGAATTCATATAAAAATTTTAAAAGTCAGCAATCTCTAGATAATAAATAACACAAGTAACTTACAGTTTTTGTCGACACCATTCTTACAGGCCAGCCCATTTGAATGGCTCTCTCAATCGCTTTTTGGCACTCAGCGGTGAGCTTGAGTACAAACGACTTGTTCGTACTTTGACTGTCGTTTTCAAGTTTTTGGACTTTAGCAGCCTGCCCGATGGTAGTTTTGGCAACTTTGGTAGCGTGATAACTCATAATTTTCACTGTAAAATACGAAAAAATTAGTTTATAAACAAAAGCAAAAGAAAACTAACGCATAAAACGACAATTTGGCATAAATGTTTTTGATTTATATAAAAATATGTTTTAGTTTATACGGTAATGTACCTAAAATATGTTTATATGAATTCTTAATCTATATTTAAACACCACTATGGAGCATTTGTATTTTAAAAATAAATTAGAAGTTCTAAGTGTACAAAGACTACAAAATCTATTAATCAGTAGCTTAGCCAACAAAGGCTTCCGACAACGGCATGAAATCTTCAAGAACACCTCATCACGACACGGCAGCTCAAAAAACAGGATCATTTGGATGGGCCCTAATTGGGAACAGATATTGCTCTGACGGTCTTTGCTTAACCCTCGTCATACCTCCCTCTCCCCTTATAAAACTAAAAAACAACAATATAATATAACAAAAAATAAAAAAGCGACAAATTCATAAATTAAAGAGCAAAGAGATATGAACCACCTTAGCCGGATATGTATCTTCATACTAATTTGCTTGTGTTTGTTTTCAATCCACACCAATTTTTGCGCGAGTATTTTGTAGGGTCTTTGACCTTTGACCTTTCTTGCTCGTTTTATCGAGGAAAATTCAAAAATCAAAGGGTTTTTTGAAACACCGCCGTTACATAATATTATGTTAAACATGAATGACTTAGTACGAGTAGACAAAAATAAATCTTTTTTAGTTTACAAGGTAACAAAATTAACTAAAATGAAAGTTTTATTAGTAGTTTTTAAAATATTTATGTAAAAAAATACTGAAAGTTAAGTAAAAATTTTTTAAATTTACAAATCGTTTGCTTGGTCAACGCTGGCTTACGACCTGAAGTCTTCGTGAGCACCTTAACACGACTCGGTAGCTCGAGAAACAGGATCATCTGGATAGGGCCTGATTGGGAACAGCTACAATGAATTGCTCTGACAGTCTACGCCAAACCCTCACCATCCACTCTTACTTCTATTATAAAGTTATATCTTGCGTTGAAAAAGAAAAAAAGTTTTAAAAAAAAATTTTAAATTGATATTTAAATTTTGTTATTATACTCAATCTATAATATATTTAGACTATTTATATTATTAAATTTTTTTAAAAGTATTAGGTGCCGACATAAAGAACCCGCCATACTTTGCCTGTAATTTCCTGTCAAAAATGGCGGGTTCTTTATGTCAACACCTAATAGTTTGAGCACTACAAACTTAATAATGAAATAAAAACTGTTTAATCAAAGCGAAAATATTAAAACGTCCTTTTTCAATTTCTCCATGCCAATTTTTTCAATTTTGTCCACCTTCAACATCATTCCAAACCTTTTCACACTGACTAATCGGTCGCCAAAAGTAGTAGATTATGTGTTGTTTCACGCGGAAAAAGGTCTCTGTGGCAGCCAGACGACATCGTCCCGACCCGCAGGCCAGACCGTCACCGCCCCAGCCAAACGAACCTCACTCGTCGGTGGAGTCGCCGGAGCTGGTAACCTGCATATCTAGCAGTAATAAGATGGAGTATACTGGGAAAGATGGGCCGGATTCGGATGAAAGAAAGGTTGGTGGGATTGTTCCTGATATACTGATTAGCTATTAGGTTGAACCAAAAGTAGCGGGACACTTTAGTTGGAAATTAAATGAAAAGTGTCCCGCTACTTTTGGTTCAATTTTTAAATAGATATTAAAATATTTATGTTGTATCTAATTAAAAAATTGAATTTTAAGCCAAATCTTAAAATTTTTTCAAAAATTTTTCTTTTTGAAATTTAAAATTTGAGTCAGTTTGAAGTTTGTAAGCTTATATTTTGGTCAAAATTCAAATTTTCAAAGTGATTTGAATACTTTTAACAAAAAACCTTTCAGAAACGAAAAATCCTACAGTACAAGAAGCGAGACGTCAATGGGAAGACCGTGGACGAAGATGCAGAAAGTATTACAGCAGCGCTAAGAGCTCGAGGGCATGAAGTTGACCGAAAACAAATTGAGACAGTTCTTCATAGGAAAGTCGGGAATCAGAAAATCACCGCCAAAATCATGCCTGGTAGGGTAAAAATTACTTTCTATATCTTAAAACAGCGATTTTTTGATGATGTTAGCAAAAAGCCTAGTAGGTTGTTCAAATAATTCTGTGCCCTGGTTAAAGCAAATTTTTTGGCCTTGAAGGCACAGAATTAATTAAACCACTTAATGCATTTTTAATTCATAAAATTTTATTTTTAGCCTTGGAACTGCGTTTTGTAAAACCATTTTTTTTGGCTAAAATACCAAATTTGTAGTTACAGTAATCTCTCTATATAGTGAATCATCTGTATAAGCAACTCACCTTGTAGTAAACAAGAAATTTGGCCCGTCAAGTCAATTTGCACTATAAAGTCTCTCTGTAAAGACATCACCTTTTATAGTAAACACAAAATGTCGGTCCCTTCTGGTTGCTTATATAGAGACACTACTGTACAATTTGTTTTACATGTTTGGCCGCACAGGTCAAATTTTAAAAGTCTTTTTGATTTTTTAAAAATTTTTATGCTAAAATTCACCTTTAGGCGACACAATATTCGAGTTGCCGAGTAGGAAGAAGAAAAAGAAGGGTGCAGAAGAAAACAAGAAAAAGGATGACGATACTGATAGATCTGAAGTTATGGTAAGGTTTTGTATCAAATTTTTTAAAAAAATGGGCAATGCAAGGCAATTTTAAGGTGGAGTAGATATTATATAAAGATGAGCCAGACCGGTTTGTCTAGCTCAGCTTCATGCATTTCCTGAGGTTTCACTAACTTCAGGTAGCCCCAAACCAGGGCCCACGGGGTCGAGCTTAGGTCTCGAAACGAAAGATTTGACTTGCGAAACACAGGGGAATTAAACAAGTTTTTGAAAATTTTAAGCTTTACTTTACTTTATACATCAACGATCATAATTTTTAAATGAAAATACTGTTTCAGAAAACAGCAGAGGACCAGCAGGAGCCAGAAGAAGTGTTTGAAGATCAGGAAGGTGACGATGTAACCAGCGAAAACTACATGTTTCATGACAGCGAAATACGCTATGTTACCCGATTGATGATTCAAGAATCCGATGTGGCCCACGTGCTTGATGGAAACACTCCAGAGGATAAAAAGGTATGATTTTTGAAAATTTTTTAATTTTAAAAATTTCAAAAAATTTTGAAATTTTTTTAAAGAAAAAGTTGAAAAAAACTATGTACACGCCTTTTTTAGTACTATTTTAGCTTATATGACGAAGAGTCACAAAATGCGGCGAAATGTCACAAACTTTAACGAAGTGTCACAAAAGATCACGAAATGTCACAAAATTTATTGGATATTTTCAAATCAAGTTTTTGGCCAAAATAATATTGCCATGTTCATAAAAGTGCCATAATTTTAAAATTTTTACATATCGATTATGAAATTTAAAATAATTTTTCAGATTTTCAAAGACATGTTAAACCTTATACCTACCATACCATGGAATCCTTACCGTAAGGTGGAAGAAATGACAGGAAAAGTAGAGAAGTTTGTCTTTAACTGTGACTACCTTCGACGCAACTCTTTCCTAACAATGACGACGACAGGTGCCAGAGGGGATAGGCCTAAAGTTACTCGGAAGATCACTAGGTAAGTTTATATTGTATCAGTCTTTCCCGAAAAGAATGTTACAAAACTGCACAGTGCAGTTTGAAGGAATCGCTGTCGCGCCGAGAATTGGGCGACAAGCGACAAGGTCTGCGACAGTCGCTTGCACCCGGCGACATCCCAATGGAAATCGCAACGTCGCAAGTGCAAAGCTTTGCGACAAACTGTCGTGTCGCGCTTCGAATGGCGATGCGACAGTGTGTCGCGGTTGTCGCAACGCTCAAGCCACAACTGTGTTCAATGGAAGGATTGCGACACGTTTTTTTGACTGTTGCAAGTCATTGAATCCTGCGACAACCGACCGGTGCGGCACTGAAGGGATTGCACTGTGCAATCTTTCCTCACATCGTTGGCTGTATCGTGTGATCGCGCGGGAAATCTGCACTGTGCAGCGGAATTAAAAGGGCGCGATTTTCTCGGGGACTGCACCGTGCAGCTGTAACATTCTTTAGTGGAAAGACTGATAGTAGGTCTAGGTATAAAATAGTCTAACATATTACGATTTTTAATCATTTTTGTGCTATGGCTTTTATGAAAATCCATTTAAAGTGTCATATGTCACATAAAATATGTAATTTTACATAAATCATGTCATAATTTCAGCAAAGTAACGCTATCCAAGAAGATCCTGCCCCTGTCCGAGTTCCCAACCCCATCTCAAGATATTAAAGAAGCCGACATTGAGGACGAGGACGAGAAGTTGAAGAAGGCCTTGCTGTCCCTCAAGTCCAAAAAGGAGCTGCGATCAGTCAAACTCAAGAAAGACCAAGGAACAGTCAAAGAAAAAGGCAGCAAACACGGGAGCAAAAGGCTGGTCAAGAAATAAATTAGGAATTATAGCTCATAGTTGTGTCAAATAAACTAGAAAAGATTTTTTAAATGTTCGAGTTTTGAAAAATGAATATCAAATACAACATGAATTTACAAGAAAAGTATACTTAAGTACCCAACCTGCCCAACTCAAAATCAGCCCAAAAGTTTTATATGAACTCTTTGTACAGTACTCTCTCTATATACGCAACCCGAAGAAACCGAGATATTGTGTTTACTATAAGGGGTGTTGTCTTTACAGAGAGGCTTTTTAGTGCAAATTGACTTGGCGGGGCCAAATTTCTTGTTTACTATAAAGAGAGTTGCTTAAACAGATGGTTCACTATATAGAAAGACAACTGTATCACTAATAGTATCCATAAAAAATTTTAGCCCGCATTTTTGAGTTTTAAATTTGAAATATTTGAATTTCCCGCCAATTTGATAAATTTGGCATTGCGTTTCAAGCAAGTTTTTTGAATTTCCAGACAAGCTACACTTAAAACTAAAAATTTAGGTCCAGTTAAAGGTTTTCCACTAATAGATCAAAGAAAAATGATTAAAAGTCAAAAAATGCCAAAGTTATAAGCTTGAAACACAATGCCAATTTGACGAAACATTCAAAACGTAATTTTTTGATCACGATTTTCTCAAGATTGACTAGAAAGCGCGATTTAGTACTTTGCTGCAGACCATATATATACATGATCTTTCATTACAAAAAATTTGATGTCACAAAGCGGAGCATGTTGATCACCTTCCTTGTTATTTTTTGTATATGAACATTTTTAAATTGATGGTAGATTGCAATTGCCATTTTGATAAAAATGACTATATTTAAATAAAAAATCAAAAAACTTTTATTTTCTCATTAGATTTAATTTACGATTCGATGTAACGTACAGTAAAATCTCTTTAGTATGACCCCCGATAGCATGAAACTCTCTTTATATCGACAACTTTCTGACAGGCCTTCGTAATATTAGAAATCCCATCAATGAGTACCAGGTACTGTAACACTCTGGAATGATATAGAATGGCAACTGACCCATAATGCCACTTTGGGCGAAGCCGTGGTGTCTCTTGAGTGTCATACAAAAGAGGTTTGACTGTGTATTTTGTGAACAAATTGAACAACGCGATGCCGAAAAGGCTTGATTAATATGATTGCAGAAAGATTATTTACAAATGGAATCCATGCTACAGTACCAAAAAGCACCACTTCAGTAGAACCCAAAGTAAAGTTAAATAACATACATGTCAGTGTAAGAACAGTTGGTCCAACTGATGTCATTATAGGAGTAATGCTCTGAATACAGTAAATTATTATACTTTTTTTTAAATTTTCTAAAAAATTTTTTAAAATTTTTAAATTTTTAAAATTGTATTAAATTAGGTAACAAACTTACTTTTACAATCAGCACACGTGTCAGCTGTTTCTGCATTAAAATAGTCTTTTGAGTAAAAATTGAGGCATTTGTCTTCAAAACTTTGATAGCTAGTATACCATAATGTAACGACACACAGTAAGAAAGTGTCAAAACGGATAGCAAAAAGAAAATTACAGTCAATACCGAAGAAGATTCCTGAAACAGTTCAAATAACGTTTAGGTTTCCTGTTTGGAATTTTTCGGGCCGGCCCCATTCTTTCGTTGCAGGACCTTGGCTGGTCCCTTGTTCTTCTACTAAACAGTCATTTCTGTTCAAAAACACAATTTTGTTATTCAAATATGGCAATAAACTTACAGTATTAGCACCAACGAAGTTTCTATAACCATGGTCAAAACAAAGGTTTTTCAAAACAGTACTGTCCAGCTTGTCCTCAACTTGTAAGGCATACCTATCAGAAACAGCCAATGTAATAGCCAAAAAATTAGCAACAAGATAACCGTATAGCCAACGGTATTTTTGAGCTCTCGGACTGAAATTTTTTAAAATATATTAGTATGGCAATAAAAAAATTTTTCAAATAAGTTTTGAAAATTTCAAATTTTTTTTTGACCATGCCTTTTACTATAATATTAATCGTGTTGTTAACAAAAAGTTTGAAAATTTTAAAATGAAATTTTTAAAAATTATAGTAAAATGACTTGCCTTTTCAACAACGTATAGCGACAGTAACAATTGACGCTAATCATAAAGATATTCATATACAAACAATAAACAAACAGTGTAATGCCATTTAAAACATTATAACGTGAGCGATTTAATCGTGCCGTACCGACAATAACGTAATACCTTTTGATATTGAAGGTCTTAAAACGTAAACTTTATTGATAAGCATTTTTTTTATTTCCCCTCCCCCTTTACTTCCCTCACCCTTGTGAATACCTTCAAAAAGATATTGTCAATAAAAAAAAGTTGACATTTCGTCTAATTTTAAAACAAAAGTTGACATTTCGTCTACTTTCCCAATACTCATTTATTAGATTGTTCAAATAGTTCTGTGCCGCCTCTAAAATCAGACTTGTGAAGTTAGAGAGCACAGAATTATTTGAAAAACCTAATAACACGGGTTACAGCCTTTTCAGTGCATTTGTCAACCTTTAACTTGAAGAAACTACACTTACTGTGCGCGTAACACAAAATGTCAGTCCAAAAATAATGTCGTGGATACAATACAATAACAACATCAACATATAGTTCTTCAACGCACTTTTTGAAGTCGTTAGAATAAGATACAACAATATTACACTCAAAACAGGCCCAAAAACATCTGGGACAACGAATAAAAACTTGTTGATTGTCCACAAATCTTCACAAGTCATCTCTTTGAACTCAACAGTGTTTTAATAGGTATATTACAACTTTTACCTATCAGCACACAGTCAAACTTCACGTTTAGGTATCAAACTACTGAGTAATTAACAGTGATTATGCTATAATATTAACAACCTTTTAGAAATTGTTTGTGTCACAACTTAGGTTAGAAAACTCATTAGTTGATTTAATGACGGATTAAAGTGCGCTATACCATAGATCTTATAATGCTTATGTCTCCTATAACAAACGTTTACCATCAATGTAAAATGTAAACGTTTCTTCGAAAAGTTACACTTACCGTTTTTGTCAAGTGTAATATCACAGAATTTATTATTCCAAGCTCGACAGAATTATGTTCTCTTAATAATTTGAAAGAATAGGGAACTACAAAACAATTAGTACCAGATTATAACTAGAGGTGAGAAAAGGGCCGGGCCGGGCCCACTTTTTAGGCCCGGCCCGTTTTCAATTTTCTCTCAGGCCGGCCCGGCCCGGTTAGAAAATTTCTAGGCCCGGACCGTTTTAAAAAATTTTAAAACAAAAAATAAGCGGAAATTTGGCTGTGCATTGTTCTTTTAGATCATTTATGTATGTACCATTGTACCCAATAAAATCAAAAAACATCAACGGGGATTAAAATAAAAAATTTTTTTTCGGGCAGGGGCCCAATTTTCAAGCCCGGCCCGCGGGCCGGAATTAACCTTTGGGCCCGGCCCGTTTCAATGTAAGCTCAAGGCCGGCCCGGCCTAGACGGCCCGTTTCTCACCCCTAATTATAACAAAATTTATCCATTTTGAACGAAATGCCACAAGTTTTTAAACGAAGTGTCACGAGAATATTGTTTTTTGCCGAAAAACTGTTCCGTTGTTGCTCCAAAGTAAAACTTATTGAAAACGGATTTTTTAGGCGTTATTGTAGCTATCTTGTCTCTATAAGTCTTGTTTTATATCTTTATTAGTTGTTTCAATCAAATTTCGTAAAACCCATTAACTTTCAGATGAATAACTCCAGTTCCACACTCAATAACACGTCAAAGATCGACGATTATGTGTTATCGTTGATTAATATTTCTGCAGAACAACTTCAAGTCTTTCGAGATGTGATTGCCAAAAAGAAAGAGTTGTACAAGAACAAAAAAATTACGATTTTTGGTGAGTTTTTAATATTATTTATCTTGTTTTAGGTGTATCTTGGTTGCTTCTTGTTTTTTAGCAAGATTATATTTTGTTTATGGTGTTTTGCGTTTATTTTAGCTGTTTTGTCTTGTGTTAATTCTACTTTAGCTGTTTTTATATTGTTTTAAGTTTATTTCAGCTGTTTTGTCTTATTTTTAATGTTTTAGATTCTTCTCTTGCTGTTGGACAGGTGCTCGCAGATTTGTACGTCAAGGAAGGTGCTACGGTTTGCTTAGTTTGCGACAATAATGAGAAGAATCGAAACAAGTTTAGATCAAGAGTAAGGTTTATTTATTGTTTATTTTTGTTTTTAGGTAATTCAAAGAGTTTTCGAGCAAATTTGTGTATAATATTTGGACAAAAGGTTCAAAAAGATAGTAATTGAGGTTTTTATACTATTTTGAGTGATATTTTCATGTTATACTTGATCAACATACATTACAGCTAGTTAATCTTGAGATAATTACTCATCTTATATATGCTTGATGTGTTGTGTGTTTTATTTAATGTAAATCTTGTTTTAGCCTAACTACCATGTTGAGTTTATCAAATCTTTTCGTGATGTTACTCAATTCAAGGACAAAGACATTGACGTACTGATGGTGATCTTGCCTTTGCTTCAAGAAGTTGGCAATCTTCAACCGCACGGAGATCACCGGGAGACTTGTGATCTCATTACTAAGCAGTGGGTTTAGTGTTCCTTTATTTAAAAATTAGATTTATTAGAGGTTTTTATTTGTGGAAATGTTAAAAAGACTAGGCGATTTATAAAAAACGTGTTTTAATACCTAAAATTGATTTTTCGATCCTATGTAAACATATTTTTCAAGATTTTCTATGTCAATATATATTTACAGTCTAATGAATATTATTTCAGCGTTGCTAAAACACTGACCGCATTCGAGGCGAATTTGATCAAAAACAAAGGAATGTTCGTGTTGGTTGGCCCAGCTTTGCCAGGTGTCAGTCAATTTCAGGATCCATTTTACAATTCCACGATGGCGTTCTTGGAACGATTGACTGAATCCGTGAAGCGCCGTAGAGAACAGCATCATAAAATTGGATCTAAAGTCAAATTTCTGTTTTTGGAGTGAGTTTTTTGGGTTGTTCTTGATTTTTAGGTATATTTTTGCTGTTTTTTATATTATAGTAGGTATTTTTAGGTAGTTTTTCAAGCTTTTTATATAAAAATAGGTGCTTTTATGAAAGTTTGGTACCATCGTTCTATGTTCTAACTTACTATACGGTTAATAAGTAAGGAGAAAGTGCTTTACTTGAGCTCAGAGGGCTGTATATGATGATGCAAACGATTATTTACATTATTTTTATTACTTTCCTAAAGGCCTTCATTATATTATCTTACCTCTTCAGAAGACCTATCGCCGCCCAATACGAAGAAAGGATAACTGATTATGGCCGATGCATGATCATCTTCAACACGGTGGACGCTTTCTACGAAGGACCGTGGGAATACGTAGATGAACGGCCGAGAAACATCGACGAACAGAACATCACATTGGTCGAATTTGATGAACTTCCATAATACTATGTGATAGAGTTTAAAGAGTAAGTAGTCTTACAATCAACTTTTGAAAACTGCCATAAGCTTTCGGCTAGCGAGATAGGAGTCGTAGACGGTTTGTTTATGGCCTTGCAAGGCCTGGATTTATATGAAAGTTGAAAAATTGAAAAACTTTATTGAAAAATTAGTTTTAGTCTAGCCTATGTGTCATACAATGTTAAAAAGCAAAACTGAAGGCAAAAGATTCGAACCAACGCTTTTTCGATTACCAGTCTTTCTTCTTAACCGTTGAGCTACATCAACACAGTAGCTGTTAAACGGCTGATTTCTCGCTAGCCAACGAATTTTGTTGTGTAAACTTTTATTTTTTTAAATTATTGCTTTAAAATGTTAAGGATGATAAGAAATATTGGTTTTGTAATAAATATTATGTTGTTGTAGGTATTTTTGTAAGGAAATTTGATTGGAAATCGTTTAGAAACGGATTGTTAAGTCTGACATTATCTGACTGATTTAAAGCTATGGTTAATTTAAAAAATATCTTTTTGTTTAATTAAGTCAAGTTTTATTACCAATTCTACAAATTTCAAACTTATTTAGAATATTTTTCAAAATTTGAATAATTCGCTTCCGATAAGGCTTTATAAGCACGATAGCTGAAAGGTTGTTTACTAATGGCACCCATGCCACAATTCCAAATATCACAACTTCACCTGAGCCTAAAGTAAATTTGAAGAACATGCTGGATAGTATGGTTACAGCTGGCCCGATCGATGTTATTATTGGGGCTAAACTCTGAAATTTTGAATTTTAATGAGGTTTTAGGTCTTGTTGTTATAGTAATAACGATAAAATGTTTTGGTGATAGCAAACAAGGTTTATTTCTTTCCTAGAGCTTAGATAGGAAACGATTATAAGGACAGTCAACTTTATATACTTTATGTGGCTTACTACAATTAAATATTTGCAAGACACTACTTACTTGAATAATTAGCACACGTGTCAGTTGTTTTTGCATTAAAATTGTCTTTTTAGTTAAATTTAAAGCTCGGTTCTTTAAAATGTTAATGGCAAGTATGCCATAACGTAATGAGACACAATAACTGATAGTAAAAGCAAGTAGCAAGATGAATAGTAATGACAATGTACTTGCTGATTTCTAAACGGGGTTTATTACAGTACTTTATGGTTTTTACATAATATGAGGGGGGGAGGGGTGATTTTGGACTGGGTAAGGGTGAAATTTAGTTTACTAGGGGTAGGTCAAGAAATAGGGGCAGAGGAAAATTTTTTTGTAGCTTTGAAATGTTGCCTTACCGTATCAGTGACCACAAAGTTTTCAAAATCACTATTAAAACAAAGGTCATCAAGGATGGTATCACTGTAGTCAACTGTATATGTATATCTACTATAAATGGCTAATAGTACGGCCAAAGCATTGGCTGTAATATAACAGTAAACCCAGCGGTATTTGTTTAGCCTTGGACTGAAATGTTTGTCTTCATTATACTGTAACATACTGTTTAAAATATCATCCATGTTATGAAAGCACTAAAGTAAAACTCATAAACAAACCTTGTTAGCATATGATAGCGACAATAACAATTGACACATACTATAAACATGTTCATGTACAAACAATATGCAAATATGCTAATAGCGTCTAGCACATGATATCTACTACTGTTAATTCGGGCTGTACCCATTACAGCGTACGTACTCTTTATGTTTACTGTCTGAAAATGTTAGACTGGCTATAAAATATGGTTTATAACAACAAAAATATTTGCTTGCTTTTAATATGTTATATCTAAGTGATAAGGGTGATATGTTCCACATAAGTGATGAGTTTCTTATATTAGGCTGTTCAAGTAATTCTGTGCTCTTTTAAAAAGGAAATTGTCGATGTTATGGGGCGCAGAATTATTTGAACAACTTAATGGTAAACCTAAAAATGTCACTTTTTCAAAATTGTTAGACTAAATTGAAGTTACAAACTTACCGTATGTGTTACCGTAAAAGTCAGACCAAAAATGATGTCATGAATGCAGTATAGTAATAACATTAAAGTATAGTTCTTCAAAACGTTCTTTCCAGTAGTTACAATTAGATATAGTGATAGCAGACTTAAAATAGGTCCAATCACATCTGGTACAGTAAACAGAATCTTGTTGGTCAGCAAAAAGTTGTCGCAGTTCATGTCTACTGCAACATATATAAAGCGTAGTATACGATATGGCAATAATATGGTATGCTTACTAGTTAGGTGTTACTAGAAGCATATAGTAAGCAAGAAAGGCTATTATATGGTACAATTGGCTTTAGCTATTATCCTTTACAAAAGAAAGGTTCAACGTCTCTCCTTAGCACTATAGTAAAGGTGTACCTTAGACTACTCAAAAAAAGATTGACATCAGGGTAGAGTAAGCAAGACAATAACAAATAGGTAATTACGATTCGTTTCTGAACATATATTTACCCAAATTCGGCCGAAATATTAGGCATTCATTAGTTATAGTACAGTTATATAACTAGCAATTATCGTTGATGATAACGTAGGTTTTGAAAGAGTATATATAATAAATAAATTGATAATACTTATACTATCGCCATAGTATTACCACATAAGGTAGTAACTATGATTTTGAATAATTGTGTATTGTATATATTATATATAAGGCCAAAGAACTTCTCTACATCAACAATTTTTCAAATAAGAGTGGGTTATGGTATAGTATAGTAATTTTGTGTCATATCATGTTGTTCAAATAATTCTGAGCTCCGTAACCCTAAACACGTGTTTTGAAAGAATCACAGAATTTTTTGAACAACCCTAATACTATAGTATAAAGATCAGTACTGGTATAATACAAGGTGTGTATTCGTATAATGATTTTTCAGGACAGGTAAATAGTAAAGAGAATATACTATTATTGTTTCCGGTATAACACAACAACACTAGTTATTTACCTATGTTTTAGGTTTAATGGTTTGTTTTGACAGGTGTTTAAGGTCATCATGAGTAATATCAACGTAGGGGACCGGAAAGGGATTCGGTTTTTCTTCGTTATCCTACCCGGCCCTACCTTACCCTACCCTTCCCTACCTTACCCTACCTTACCCCACAATACCCTACCCTACCTTACCCTACTATATACTACTCTACCCTGTTCTAACCTATCCTATTCTATCTAACCCCACCATACTCTACGCCCCTCCCCCTCACCATTATTTTTTGCCAAAAACGATCTTATCAAGGCATCTTTATTGTAACAAAGCATCAAAATCAAATTTAGCAAGCTCCAGAAGCCTTCTTGGTAGTAGCTGTAGAAGCAGCATTACCACCAGCAGTAGTAGTACTAGCTGGCAACACAGTAGTTCCAGAGGTAGGGGCCGAACCATCACATAGAGTCAGAGTTGTTTCGTTACAGAACAAGTAAGTTATTGTGGCATCTTTGGCAATTCCTACCGTACCACCCTGTGGCTCCAACAACAAGAAGGCATCTGTGGACAGATCAACGTGATCTACAGCACATTCTGGACATTGGTTATCGCCGATGAAGACTCCACTGGATTGTTATGTGTATGTAACATATATTGTACTATGTACTTATATATACAATGGTTTTCAAAAAGGCATGTAATTCTTAGTAGAACAGACCATAGCAGACTATATAACTCACGTTTTGCCCTGATACTCGATCTTAACGCAGATACCTCGGCAAATTGGATCGTCCAGGATGTAGCGACCATCAGGCAAGTCCGAGGGTACCCAAGCAGCACCAGCAGTGAACAAAGAACCAGACAAAGCGGCCGAACAACTGGACACATCCAATCCACAAGCACCACGACCAGCAGCACCATAGAACGTGAACTCACCACCAGTGATCGGCTGATTGAGAACTGGACTAATATTGTCCGAAACCACCAATGGTATCAAGGATAGTATGACCAATGGTACCAGGGTTAGTGAGTACAGGGCGTTCATTTTTCAATTCCAAGTGAATGGAACGGCTAGGTGATGATTTGTAGGGTTGGGGTTGAGTTTATATACAGCTTGAGTTCATAACAGGTATGCATACAGCAGTATAGGGTTTACACTAGAGTTAGAAGGAACTTCCAAAACTGTTTAAACAAAAAGCTGTTTTTAACAGTTGATAAAAGACTTCTGTGCAAACTTTCAACGTAAATTCACTTTCAACAAAAATAAATTTTTTTAACAATTTTAATTTGAGGACTAAAATTTTTAACATATATATTTATGCTATAGTAACAAAAAAACTGACACGGAAAGTACTCCTCCTGCACCACACTCAGAACCGGCTTAAAGTTTACATATAGATTTTTGTACCAATAGTACACATCAGAAAGCTCAGCTTACGCTTTTGAGTTTTAAAACTTAAATATTTAGCTTTCCAGCCGTTTTGGCAAATTTGGCATTGTGTTTCAAGCACTTTTTCCGACTTTCCAGACAAGCTACGCTTTCAAATTTAAAAAATTTAGGTTTACTTAAAGGCTTTCTACTATTAAATCAAAGAAAAATGGTCAAAAGTCAAAACATGGCATTATTACAAACTTGAAACACAATGCCAATTTAGCGGGAAATTCAAAATGTCATTTTTAATCTCGATTATCTCGAGATTTCTCGGAAAGCGAGATTTAGAAATTTGCTGAAGATCTTCTATTTACATGATCTTTTTTTATAAAAAGTTTGAAGTCAATCAGAGTGTGGAGGTCGGGCACTTTCTTTGTAAATATTTAATGTTATTTACATAACAAGTCAATGAATATATACATATATAGATATATTATAAATACATTATTTTATATCAATCCTAATATCTAATCAATGAAACTAATCAATATTATTTCTGACATTACTAACGGTTGATGTCGACCCTTTTTTACCACTGAGAGTGAAGAAAAGATGAGATACTCTTTCTCGGTATGGCTTGATTAATATGATTGCTGATAAGTTGTTGACCAACGGTATCCAACATACTACACCCATTAACGTTAACTCTCCAAATTTGAAGTCTAGGTTTAACACAATAGATACTGATACTAGTACCACTGGTCCTGTTGAGGTTATTATTGGTACTATGCTCTGAATAATAAGCATTCTAGTCAATTGTTTTTGCATCGAAATGGTTTTTGCAGTATAAAAACAAGCTTTTCTTTTTAACAATGTAACTGCTCTCATACCATAGTTAAATGACATGCAGTAGGTAACAACATACGCCACAAAAACCATGATCATAGCTGCCATTGTGTCTTTTGCTGTCTAAACGAGTTTATACAATTTAAATTTATTGTTTCAATATTTATTAGGTTGATTAAATATACAAGGTAGAGTAAAGTAAAACAAAAAGTTTTAAAATATCAGCTAACTTACCGTATCGGAGATAATAATATTTTTAACATCAGACTCAAAACAGGTATCTTGTAACAGTTCGTACTTTATATGTTTAATGTCGTATGTTAAAGCAACTGATACAGCAATAAAAAGGGATAAGATGTTGGTCAATAAATAACAATATAACCAGCGATATCTTGGTGCACCACTAAAATTAAAGTTTTTATTAGGTTTAAAATTAAAAATTTCTGCCTTGCCTTGCCTTGCCTTGCCTTGCCTTGCCTTGCCTTGCCTTGCCTTGCCTTGCCTTGCCTTGCCTTGCCTTGCCTTGCCTTGCCTTGTCTTGCCTTGCCTTGCCTTGCCTTGCCTTTGCCCTGCCATTCAAAAAACTTACTTGATCAAGCTAAAACGACAATAACAATTGACAACCAGCATAAACATGTGCATAAACAGACAGTAAGCGTAAAATACAATAGCATATACAACTTGTAGACGGGTTTGGTTCCATGATCTGATTCCAATCAGCACGTAGTCTTTCTTCAGGTTTAATGTCTAAAATAGGTATTGTATTTAAGTTTATACATATTCGAAATGACTATTTTAAAAACTCACTTACCAATCTTACGGTAGAAAACGCAAAACCATAAAGAATGTCATGAAAGCAGTACAATAACATCATGACGGTGTAGTTCCTTAAAACTGTTTTTCTTGTAGTAAAGATTAAATAAAACAATAGTAAGCCTATAATAGGTCCAGCTACCGTTGTGAATAATAGGCAGTATCTGTCAAATGCTAGTAAGTATTTACATAACATATTACACTTTTAAAGAGATACTACTGAATATTTGCTTATTACTTTACATGTACATACAGTACTGGCGGTAGCTTCTTAAGTTCAATGTTAATTGTACGTACTATTAGTAATAAATACTAGAAAGTGAAACTTATTAGAAGTAGTACTATAAGAAGTAGTGAGTAATAAATATAGTAGTTCAGCTTAAAATTATTGTTTGTATTGTAAGTAGTACGTACTGAAAGGTAGTACTTATTGTTTACAAGCACTGTAGGAAGTATATAGTAAGTAATATAGTAATTCAGTTAAAAAATATAGTGCAAACTGTGGTTAGTAATAATTATAAGTAAATAGAAGTAGAAGTAACAATAATACAATAGTCAGTACTAATAAAACGTTGTTTTATGTAGTAACTGTGTAAGTAATTAAGTATTTACAAAAAGAAGTACAAACAACAACAAGTATTACAGAGTAATAATTGTTGTTGTTTGTATCAAGTATTCACAATACAATTTCAAGTTGTAAACGAATATGTGCAAATACAGCTCGTTATACAAGGTTATGACATACGTCAAGACTTGAGTAAAGGTTATTGAACTCAGACAACAATACAAATACAAACCATTTAGTAATATATACTAACCTTGGCTAACCCATATGCATAAATAAATAAGTTATTCCAGTAGTAATATCAATTTATACTGGCTCATTACAGAGGAATTTTAGTGTTGCCTATATCAACAGTACAGAACATATAAAAACTCCAGTAACAAACCATAAAAATATTTCTAAAAAGTATAATTGCTGCCTATATGCCATTACATGAACGACATTACCTTTACATGGGTATGCGTAAAAGTATTAAACACTATCACCAAGTGTAGGTAAAGGATATTATCACAACATGCGTAATTTTACTATTAAGTAGCTGTACCTTTATCATTACAAAGTATATGTAGCTTTTTAATTACAGAGTACGTCAGTAAACAGCACTATAACAAGAAGCTAAAAAGTCAAAGTAAAGTTTGTCAGAACTAATTATATATTTTAAGTCAACCCTGTAATTCAGCTTGTTTAAAAAGGTTTTTCCTGGTTTTTTACAATTATTCAAATTAATATTTAATCAGTTGTGTCCGTAAAAAACAAAGATCTTTATGTTTAATGAGTAATAACAATCAAGTATTACAAAAATGTAGCGTATTGTAGTTGAATTGCAGTTTTTTGCAAATTCAGATACTAAGCTCTAACGCTAGCACAAGCCATAGCCCTGGCACTTGACCTGGATTTAAACCTGGACCTGGGCCTAGATCTGGATCTGGATCTGGATCTAGACCTGGACCTAAACCTAAACCTAGACCCAAACCCAAACCCAGACTCAGACCTAGCCCTAGACCTAGCTCTAGTTCAGCAGGCTTAACCCGAAGTCCTAATCCAGAGTTCTAGCCCAGAGCCCTAGCCCAGAGCCCTAGCCCAGAGCCCTAGCCCAGAGCCCTAGCCCAGAGCCCTAGCCCAGAGCCCTAGCCCAGAGCCCTAGCCCAGAGCCCTAGCCCAGAGCCCTAGCCCAGAGCCCTAGCCCAGAGCCCTAGCCCAGAGCCCTAGCCCAGAGCCCTAGCCCAGAGCCCTAGCCCAGAGCCCTAGCCCAGAGCCCTAGCCCAGAGCCCTAGCCCAGAGCCCTAGCCCAGAGCCCTAGCCCAGAGCCCTAGCCCAGAGCCCTAGCCCAGAGCCCTAGCCCAGAGCCCTAGCCCAGAGCCCTAGCCCAGAGCCCTAGCCCAGAGCCCTAGCCCAGAGCCCTAGCCCAGAGCCCTAGCCCAGAGCCCTAGCCCAGAGCCCTAGCCCAGAGCCCTAGCCCAGAGCCCTAGCCCAGAGCCCTAGCCCAGAGCCCTAGCCCAGAGCCCTAGCCCAGAGCCCTAGCCCAGAGCCCTAGCCCAGAGCCCTAGCCCAGAGCCCTAGCCCAGAGCCCTAGCCCAGAGCCCTAGCCCAGAGCCCTAGCCCAGAGCCCTAGCCCAGAGCCCTAGCCCAGAGCCCTAGCCCAGAGCCCTAGCCCAGAGCCCTAGCCCAGAGCCCTAGCCCAAAGCCCTAGCCCAGAGCCCTAGCCCAAAGCCCTAGCCCAGAGCCCTAGCCCAGAGCCCTAGCCCAGAGCCCTAGCCCAGAGCCCTAGCCCAAAGCCCTAGCCCAGAGCCCTAGCCCAGAGCCCTAGCCCAGAGCCCTAGCCCAGAGCCCTAGCCCAGAGCCCTAGCCCAGAGCCCTAGCCCAGAGCCCTAGCCCAGAGCCCTAGCCCTGGCCCAGAGTGCCTTAGCCTTACATTGTTAGCTTTAGCCCCGGTCTTAACCCTAGTTCTAGTCCTAGCTTTAACCCTAGCTTTAGTCCTAACCCTTATCTAACTTTCTTTATAAAACTATACGGCAAAGGCGCTAGGCGATGGCGTAGTCATCAGAAGCCAACCTTTGGCTCTGTGCACCCTAATTTCCAAATTCCAGGAAAAGGCATCCCTACAAATTTTAATAACAAAAAAATAATAAAATTAAAAATCCCAAGCCCCACTCATTCTCACTTTTCCATTTAATATTTTTGTCACTGCGGCGACCGGTCGCACCTCTTTGGTCGTAGATTATGTGTTGTTGCAAGAAGAAGAAACACAAACGATCACGACCGCGACCCTGTCCCTTGACCATCAATCGTCGCAATCTAAAGACAGCAATCGCAAGCCAAGGCGAATCTTCCTCGTCCAAGGATGTCGCGGAAGAAACAACTTGTATTTCGAACACTGAGGTGAGGAAACACCGGAAGAAGGTCACAGACAGTGAAGATACTACTGCAAGCAAGTCGTGCAAATCCAGCAAAAAGGTTGAGCGGAAAGTGGTGAGTTTGGCTTTTTAGGAGTTTTGGATCAAAAAATAAATTTTTTCGAAAAAAAAATTTTATGTTTTTAAAAAAAAAAATTTTATTTTAAAAAAATTATGAAAATGGCTAAAAAAATTCAAATTTTGTTGATTTCTTAGCTAAAATTACCCTTATCTCCTACAAAAAAATCAAAAAAGACCAATTTTAGCAGCTTACCTACAACTTTTTTGAAAAAATTTTGCCATTTTTGAATTATTACCCATTTTTTAAAAATGTCAGAAAAAACTAACGGTTAAAGAAAAGAAAAAGTCTAAAAATAGCAAAACAGTACGCGAAGATGCAAAAAGCATTCAACAGGTCTTGAATGTAAGAGGACATCAAGTGGACGCAAAACAAATCCAACCACTGCTTCAGAAGAAAGAAACTAAAGGCAAAATCACTGCCAAGACTAAACAGGGTAAGTATGAGGCTGAGCAGGGTAAGAGGTTAAGCAGGGTAGGTAGGAGGCTAAATAAGGTAATTGAGAGGTTAAGCAGAGTAAGTAACAGGGAAGGCAGAGTAGGTAACAGGTTAAGCAAGGTAAGTAGTAGGTTAAGCAGGGTAAGTAACAGGCTAAGCGGGGTAAGTAACAGCTTTGAAAACGTAAAATGTTAAATTCCTTTGAAAAAGAATTACAATTTTGTATATTATTTTCGGAAAAGTTTTAAAGATTTCAAATTTGAAGTTGTATGTTTGAAAATAGATTCAAAATTAAAAAGTTTTAAATTCTCTATATACGAACTACCTTCTAATAACAAGAAAAAAGAAGGGTAGAAAAAAAAGAAAAAGTACTATAGCGAAGAAGAAGAAGTCACGGATCGTCCTGACGTCTTGGTAAGTTTAAAAATGCCATACTGATCATTAGTATGCTAAATATATAATATGCACATATATATATATATTTACGTAATTTTTACAGTACAAGAGTTGGCCGCTCTTATTGTTCATAATACAGTAAAAAACTTTAAAAATTGTTCACTTTACTCAAAAATTCAAAAAAAAATTAACGTTTCAGAACGAGAAAACGGCTGAAGGAACAGTCGACTCAGATACACCTATAGCTAATAACAAGGACAGCGATGAGGAAGGTGAAGAAGTGACGGAGAAGAACTACATGTATAATGAGAAAGAGATCCTATATGTAAACCGGGAAATGCTAAGCGAAGGACCTTTGGATTGCATTCTGGATGGCTTTGATGATGATGAGCGAGCGGTAAGATTTGGGACGGAATGTCACAAAATGTATTGGGAATAATTTATTGACCAAATGTCAAGATAAGTTATGTTAATTCAAAGATAAGGAAACGACACTAAACTTGTTGTTAAAATTCGAATGACGAAATGTCACAAAATTTATTGGAAAATTGAAAATAACGAAATGCCACGAAATTTATTGGAAAAACCGACTTTTTACAAACTCGCCAGAAAAAATTGAATTTCGAATCTCAAAAAAAATTTTTTGAATTTTTTAAAATTTGTAAAAATGCTTTTTTTTCAGAGATCGATCGAAATGCTGCCCAAGATCCCTCATATTGTTTGGGACCCTTTTCAACCTCTCGAGAAGCTAGAAGACGATGTCAGAGAGTTTCTGTTCTCTTGTCAGTACCTTCGTCGAAGCTCGCTGTTATCACACACGAGCACAATGCCTAAAGCTCCAAAACCGCCTCGAGCTAAACCTCACGCACGGTAAGTAATAGTGGCGACTTTCACTGTCTAATGTTGTCATCACCAGTTCCAACAGCTAATAACACAACTCGTTTCAGAATAGTGACCCTAAACAAGAAGATTCTCTCGTTAGACGCCTTCAAAAGGCCAAAAGTTGAGATAACCGAAGAAGAAATCGAACCTTCAACATGTACTGGCAATTGTTCGCAGAAGACCACCTCAGACAAGAGATCGAACAAAGGATCATTGGGACGAACCAGGACTTCCACCAAAACATCCAGGGACGAATCCTGTGATTCGGCCTGATTTTACAAGATGGTTCTTTGGAATCAGCCTTATTTACAAGATGGTCATTTGGAACCGGCCTTATGTTGCCTGTTCTCCTTGGTATTATACGAATAAATCGTCATAAAAATTTTGTATAATACTGAAAATTATAAAATTTTAATTTTTTTTAAATTTTACGCTTAAAATTTCATTTTCTGGCTAAAAAACCGTCCAAAAAACTGAAAAACGGCCAAAAACGGACGAAAGATAGAACCGCAACACTTGACCTTAAATTCGTTTTCAAGTCAAGTCTTTCTCTCTTGTTATTATTCCAAAATTTGGCTACAAAATGATGTTTTTCGGCCAAAAACAGCTGTAAACTATCCTTAACTTTAATTTATTTATCTGACAACTTATTCACTATACTTATCATAGTCTTTTACAGCTATTTTCATTAGATTTTGTTAACTTTTACTTTATTTATCGTCTAATTCTCGTGAACAATATTACCAAACTCCTTTTTTTAATAAAAACCCACTTTGTTTTCTTCCTTTTTTTCATAATTTTAGGTATAAAGTTTGAAACTGTCAATAAAAAGTCAAAAAGAGACTATTCTTTTGCTTTTTCATTGAACAGCGATTAAAAGAGCAAGCGAAATTTCATTTCCAACTTGTTTTATCTTTCACTATAGCTACTTCTTTGCTGTTTATTTGTTGTTAGTGTTGTTTATTGTTGAAAGATGGCATCAAAGCCTCTAGTAGTGCTAACAAATTGTGATTTGTTTTACAAACGTCTATCACAAATGTAAGTTTGTGAGTTTTGCGTGATTTTTGGCCGATTTTCGATATTGTTTTAGATTTTTAACTGAAAATGTGGTTTTTTGGAAATTATTTTTAGGAATATTAAGGTTACTTATACATAAATTATAAAGCAAGCTCTAAAAATTAGTCATAGTCAAATTAGTTAATGTTGTAGAGCTGATGTAGCCGTGTACCACGATACGAAACAAGCTCCACGCGATTGGGTTTTGAAAAATCTGCACGATGCTGTCGCAGTCTATGGAAAAGGTCCCTTGAAGATTGATAGTGAGCTTCTGGATCATGGTAAGTGTTTTTCATTGGTTTGGACTTGAATATTGTTGTATTATACTGCATTTTCTTATATGGCGCGTTGTTTTAGGACCAAATCTAAAATACGTTGTGACCATTTCCGTTGGCTACGAGAATATTGACGTTGAGGAGTGTAAAAAAAGGTAATTTTTTAGTTTTTGTAAAATACGGGCTCTCAATGCGTCTTGCCATATTCGTAGTTTACTTAAAGTTATGTACAGGATCATTTAAAACTTTCAGAAACATTCGTGTAGGCTATGCTGGAGGTCTTCTGGCTGAAGTGACATCAGAAACTGCCTTGACCTTGTTGTTGACAACTTCTCGCCGCATTCCGGAAGCTTTGGAAGCTGCAAAATCAGGGAATTGGTCTAAAGAATGGTCTCCATTTTGGATGTGTGGCAAAGCGCTGACCAAATCGACCGTTGGCATATTGGGACTTGGTCGAATTGGGGATGCTGTAGCTAAAAAGACCGAGAGTTTTAGTCCGTCTAGGATTATCTATCACAATAGGAACAAACGGAGCGATGGTACTTTTTACCAATGTTTGATTTTAGGGTTGTAAATTGAAAAAATGGAGTTGTTTTTGATTTTGTCATATTAGGTTATTCAAATAATTATGTGCCTTTAACCATGGAAATTTTCCTTAAGAGGGCGCACAGAAGTATTTGAACAACCTAATATGAAAAGTTTTATTTTTTCTAAAATGTAATAGCCAAAACAGGTTGAATGTAAAGGTTTTACAATTTGAAGGTAAAGATTTTATGACTTTCAGTAAAATACGATTACGTGAGCTTTGAAGAGCTATTAAAACAAAGCGATTTCCTTATCATATCGTTGTCTACTGGGCCTGAAACTAATGGCCTTATTGACGAAAAGGCTTTTAAGCTTATGAAAAATGACTCGATTATTGTCAATGTGGCACGGTAAAGTATTTATCATTTTTTTTATCATTTAACATTAATTTTTATTGATCTTTGTTTTTGAAATTTGACTTTTGAAGCCGTCTTAAAATAAACGACATTTACCAGACATTACCTATTGTTTATTAGATGATTTCTTACGGATGTCGTTTTGAAATGTAAAATACGAGAAAGTAATCATTTAATTTTGTAAAAAATTTCAGAGGTAAAGTGATAAAGACTGACGATCTATATCAAGCTTTGAAAGATGGTCAAATTGGAGCAGCTGGTTTAGATGTAACAGATCCAGAACCACTGCCACCAGAGCATCCTTTGTACACACTTAAAAATTGTGGTGAGATCCTTTATTTTTTATTGGTCTTTTTCGTTTTGGGACTTAAGCTTGGCATCTCGTGCTCTTATGTAAACCCAGCTCTCGGGCGTTTTTGAATTTACCATGGTATACTTTATGAATTGAAGTTACCATAGTATTTTTTGCACATTTAAGCGACAGTTTTCTGCGAAAATTTATAAAATATAATTTTAATGTTACAGTAATCTTTCCTCACATTGGAAGCGCAAATTACCTTACCAGGAACGCTATGTTGCGTTTGGGCGAACAAAACGTGATTGATGCTCTGGATGGGCGAGAAATGTCATCTCCATTGATTTAAGGAGCTTGTAGATTAAATTAGTAGATAATAAATTGTAAATTTTTTATAAGTTACATTAATATTGTGGTAGAAAGTTGGGATTTTGGTTTAGAAGGTAAGGTCTATGATAATATTTATAAAATTTGCAAGAAACATACAACATTATGTTGGCTACGGCATTCTAAAGTAGCTTAAGCTGAACTTTGGCTTTTTAAAATAGTAATCTTAATATTGATCAAATTTTGAGCACCAAACTCATCTATGTCAATATAATTAGATTTCTGTGCAAAGCAATACGTTTTCCACGAAGAAATGTTACCAAATTGTTACGTCAAAATTTGGCCAACTGCAAAAACAAACCCGACAAGGGCCTTCCAAATCAGGATTGTTATGTTACATACTATAACACATCCCGTCATGACCTAAAACAGACAATTTAACATGTGTGCAAACACATTTTATTCATTTTTCTGTTTTTTCTTTTGGCTACGTGACCTGACCCTCAACGTGGCTTCAAATTTTGACTATAAAAACGTCGTTTTTTACCTTGTTTGACATATCGAAAATGAATCGTTTCGTGTTCCTTTTGTGCGCTTCGGTGGTCGTCGCCGACATCCAGATCACGGTCATCAACAAGTGCAAAGAGACCGTCTGGCCTGGCGTTTATGGACAGCCAACGATTCCCGAGAACGGTGGCTTCGAATTGGCGGCAGGAGCTCAAAAGGTATTGACTGTGCCAGTCGGATGGACTGCTGGACGTATCTGGCCAAGAACTGGCTGCAACGGAACTGGCGAGAACTTCCAATGTCAGACTGGTGCTTGTGGTACTAGTCTGCAATGTAACGGAAAGACTGGCGCCACTCCATGCACTTTGGCTGAATTGACCTTGGCCAAAACTACTAGCGACCAGGATTTGTAGGTTTTTTGGTTTTTTTTTATTTTTATATGCAAATTTGGCAAATAGGTTAAGTGTTCGCTTTTTAAGTGATTTATTGTGATTTAGAAAGGCTTACAGTCTGGTACTAAACATTTTTTTAGCTATGATATCTCCTTCGTCGATGGCTCCAACATCCCAGTCAGCATGAAGCCAGTCGGTGACTTCACCAAGACCGGAACCACCCAATACAGCTGTGGCGAGGCCGGCGAGTGCTCCAAGGACCTGAAGACTGTTGTCCCAGCCAACTTGCAATACAAGGTTGACGGCAAGGTTGTAGGTACCCTCTCCGCCTGCTCAGCTACCAATGAACCCCAATACTGCTGCTCTGGTGCCTTCAACACTCCTCAAACCTGTAACGCCACCACCAGCTTCCCAGCTGACTACTACACCGATCTGAAGAAGATCTGCCCAACTGTCTACATGTACGCTTACGACGACCCAACTTCGACCTTCACCTGCAAAGGAAAGGCCCCAACCACCTCCCCCAACTACGAGATTTACTTCTGTACCGAAAGCGGAATTGGCCTTCCATAAGGTTGTATTGATGGGTGATATGGAGTATAAAGCTTAGTAATGTAATTTGATTTTGAGAAATAAAGGTTTGCATTTTGAGACGAGATAGGGTTTTTTTTCGACAAAATTAAGCTTACAAGGAAAGTACCCAACCTGCAACTCTCAGAATTAGCTCGAAATATTTATACAGATTCTTTGTAGTACCAGTAGCACATATAAAAAACCTGAGCTTGCGGTTTTAAGCTTTGAAATTTAAACATTTGAATTTTCCGCCAACTTGGCAAATTTGGCATAGTGTTGCAAGCATTTTTTTTGATGTTCTAGGTAAGTTAGGCTTACAAATTTAAAAATTTGGGTCCGTTTAAAGGTTTTCTACTAGTATATCAATGAAAAAATCCTAAAAGTCAAAGAATGACAAAGTTATAAGCTTGAAACACAATGCCAATTTGGCGGTAAGTTCGAAAAGTGATTTTTTGATCTCGATTTTCTCAAGACTGGCTGCAAACCGCAACTTAGAATTTTGCATAAGATCTTACATTTACATGATCTTGCTACATAAAAAGTTTAAATAGAATCTGAGCGTTGCAGGTCGGGTACCTTCCTTGTTAGAGGGTGCCCGACCTGCTCCGCTCTGATCGAATTCACTTTTTAAATAGACAGATCATATAAATATAAGAAGTAAATTTTCAATTTTTCGTCTAACAATAAAGAATACGGTAACTAGTGAAGCTAAAATTAAATTTTTAGGTAACAATTGTAGTAAAAATAATTTCAAAATTAATTTTTAGGTTGTTTAGTCATTACTTTTACTATTTGCTCAAAGATTATTGATAAATGTTGCTATAAACACAAACCGGATCTAGATTACAAACAAAATAGACCTTGTTTATCATTAAAAATAAAAAAAACTGTTCTAAATTAGTCATTTTTAAGCATACTTTCACGGTAAAACGTTTGATAACAACACTTACGTATAAGATAATAGCCTTTTGTAAATAATTTTTTAAGACAATGCGGATATTATTGTTGTTCAGACCATCTGAAGGATGTTTTGAAAGAATCAATGATCAGCTTGGCATGGTTAATATAAAAGTGAGGCGAAGATTTTTATTTTCAACAGTTTATTTTACTTTACTGAAGGCTACAGGTCTCTTTTACAGATTTTGAAGTCTATTTTACTGAGTTAACGTTCCGTTTTATTGTGTTCTACTTACATTACTGTCATATTACCCACTGATTTACTATGAACAACCTTATGAAGTTCATCACCTTCACCATATTGATCTCATCAACCCTAGCGGACAGTCAATTTACCGTAAGAAACGAATGTGGCCAAACCATTTGGCCAGCCATCTGGAGTCAAGACCCGGGCCAGATCCCAGAGGAGGGTGGATTTGAATTGGCATCAGGAGAGGAACATGCGTTTTCAGTGGCCGATGGTTGGCCGAGTGCTCGAATCTGGGCTCGGACTGGGTGTAGTGGAGAGGGCGACAACTTTCAATGCGAAACTGGTGCATGTGGTACGGTTTTGAAGTGTAATGGTGCAACGGGTGCTACGCTAGCTTGGCCGAGATTAATATGCAGCCGGAACAGGATTTGTTAGTTTTTTAATTTTTTTTTAGTTTTTAGATTTTTGGGATGGTAATCAAGGCTGGAGAAAGGTCAAAAATTCTTTAAAATCTTTAAAAAAATTTATTTTTTTTCAATACCGAGGATATTACATTACCTTTTACAGCTACGACATTTCCTACGTCGATGGCTCCAACATACCGGTAATAATCGAGCCAGTCCAAGGAACATTCGCTCAAATCAAAACCTCTGACGACCATTACTGTGCTCAAGCTGGAGCCTGTTCTCAAGACCTTAAAAATGTTGTAATTGATGACCTGAAGGTCAAGATCGATGACAGAGTTGTTGGCACTCTCTCTGCTTGTTTAAAGACCCAAGACCCCAAATACTGTTGTACTGAAGACCACAATACTCCAGAAACTTGTCCGGCTTCGGACTTCCCTCCAGAATATTACTCTGACTTGAAGGCTGTATGTCCAACTGCTTATATGTATGCTTATGATGACCAGTCATCTACCTTTGCTTGTCAGGGTAATGGAAAGCCGTCTCCTGATTATACTGTAACTTTCTGCCCTGGTGGGGAGGGTATGAGACGGAAAAAGTTTGCTAAACGTCACTAATATTGGTGATATTGTGATTACGAGATTCGAGATTGTTTTGTAACATGTCATCTTCGAACATTTCTTACTTTATAGATACGTTATATCTTTTTGAATTTGTTTTGTGACATAACATATGTTTAGTCTTATACCTGTAAAGTTATTTAATAAATATTACTATAAAGCTTACAAGGAAGAAGGTCGGGCACTTTCCTGTATAATATAACACGAGGTATTCATGTGTTTTTGCCCTCAAAACTTTAAAACAACAAGTTTTTGTTAAAAAGCAAAGATTCAAGTACAAAAACAACTACACTTCGGTGCTTTTGACATTCTATCTGATCAAATACACCTATCACAACACTTGCAAACCAATTACAAACATTGATCTTCTATATAAACATAGCCTCTAGTTGTTTTACATTTTCTTTTGCTAAATACTGGAACATGTTTTACTCTTCATTTTTCTTTATACATCTGTTACTACTACTAAACATCGTATCAGCTGATGTAACCATTACTTTGGTAAACAAATGTAAAAGAAACGTTTGGCCGGGGATTTATGGCCAAGGAGTGATACCTGAAGATGGTGGATTGAAATTGATGCCAGGAGCTGAAAAGAATATTACAGTACCTTTCAGCTGGGTGGCTGGTAGGGTTTGGCCAAGAACTAACTGTAAAGGTGAAGGAGAGCAGTTCTTTTGTGATGTTGGTGCATGTGGCACTAGTTTTCAGTGCAAAGGCAAAACTGGGGAAGTGCCAGTGAGTTTGGCCGAAATTACTTTGGCTAAGAATGAAAATGATCAAGATTTGTAAGGCTTTGACATTTGGACTTATCTTGACTAAGGGAGTGGGTGTTTGAGTTTTAGGCTAGGGTAAGGGCTGAGAAAATTTTTTTTTGAAAAACAAAATTTTAAAAAATTACCCGCCCATCGTAAAAAAATTAAAAATATAAAAAACTTAAAGGAAAGTGAAAACATGATTACATTGCCCAATATCATCTTTCAGTTACGACATTTCTTTCGTCGACGGCTCCAGTATCCCAATGTCAATGGAGCCGATCGAAGGTACCTACAAGAAGCTGACTGACAACAAATATGAATGTGCAAAAGCCGGAGAATGTTCAGGGGACCTAAAAGACACTGTTCCCGAGATCATGAAGTACAAGAAGAACGGTGTCGTTTTAGGAACGTACTCAGCGTGCTCCGCGACAAACGACCCCAAGCTGTGTTGTGCTGGAGAGTATAATACTCCGGATAAGTGTAAAGGAGAAGACTTTCCTCCGGAATACTATAAAGACCTTAAAGCCGTGTGTCCGACAAGTTATATGTATGCTTATGATGATAAGACATCTACGTTTACATGTCGTGGGAATGGTAGATTGTCGCCGGATTATAAGATTACCTTTTGTACCGAAGATGGCATAGGATTGTCATGTAAAACGGCCAAGAAGAGAAGAAAGTAAAGGCTATATACGGATTGGAACACGTTGTAAATTGTAATAAAGTCATTGTTATGCTGTATACTTTATTGTACCACACATTCATTTACAAAATGAAGCAAATATTACCCAAAAAATCGAATTAAACCCTCACACCTCCACCAAATCACAATCCAACGCCTCCAGGGCAGAAAGTGACAGTGTAATCAGGAGATGGGTTGCTGCTGCCTTTGCACGAGAAGGTAGACGTCGTGTCATCATAAGCATACATGTAAGCAGTTGGACACACAGCCTTCAGGTCGGAGTAGTACTGGGGAGGGAAGTTGGAGGTGGGGCAGGTTTCTGGCGTATCGTAGGCTCCAGTACAACAATATTGAGCATCTCCAGTAGCCAGACAAGCGGAGAGAGAACCGACCAGTTGGCCATTCACATTATCTTGAAGTTCAGCGACGACCACAGTCTTGAGGTCTTGGGAACAAGCGCCAGCTTCAGCACAGTAGTATTGACCTTGAGAGGAATCTGGAGTAAAGGTACCATCGACTGGTTGCATCACTACTGGAATGTTGGAGCCATCAACGTAGGATACATCGTATCTAAAGAAGAGAAATTACATTGATGTACAAAATATACTACAATGCAATAATATATTGATATAAGTTACATACTACAATATAATATTACTACTTACACATCATTGCCGCCAGTAGTAGACGTCATGGTAATTTCAGCCAAACTAGCGGGAGTAGCACCAGTGGTACCATTACATTGCAAACCATTACCACAAGCACCAGTTTCGCACGTGAGACTAGTACCAGAGCCAGTACAACCAGTTCTGGCCCAGATACGACCAGCAGTCCATCCAGTTGGTACAGTTAGGACTTGTTGAGCTCCAGCTGCCAATTCGAACCCACCATTCTCAGGAATGTCAGCCTGGCTCCACACACCTGGCCAGATGGTCTGGGAACATTGGTTGACTACGGTAATCTGGATGTCAGCTACAGCGACGGTGAACAACATGGCTACAAGGAGACAACTCATCTTGGTACAAAATGGCACTTCTGGTACACTAGTCGATAGTACAGAAGACAGTTGACAAAACTGTTTAAGTGATATCAAACTGACATAAGGGTATGCTTTTATACTGCCACTCTGCTCGTTGGTTTACGTCACGGAAGTCACGTAAGCATCGTCAATATTATTCTAAAAATTTAAATTAGAATTTTAAAAATTTAAAATCCAAGCCGATTATTTACACAAATGGCGATCTTGAACTGATAAACTGTACTGTCAGTTTGTATTGTAACTTTGAATAACAATAGGGTCGCAACTGAACTGGCAGCAAATAGCAAAGGTCATGTACATGAAAGACTTATGCTTGATACATGTGATGATCACAGTGTTATCATCTTAGCTTCAATATTATCTTTTTTATTACAGTTTAATCGCTTTTACAACATTTGTTTCATTCTTATCACAAAGTTAAGCTTGTAAACTTTTAAACTCTTCAAAAATTTTTAAAAGTTGGCCCTGCTAGGGCTTATCTAACTAGTTAGCCTTTGTAAGTCCACGTAATCTGGATTTGAATAATCAATCATATTAAGTTTGATTGAAATTTTTTAAAACTGTAACAAATATTGCCCAAGGATTCAAAACTTGTTCGTTATTCAAAATTTTCGTTATACAAGGGTTCCACTGTAATATAAAATACGGTTTGCTGTAATCTGATGATTATAACTCAAATATCATTTGACTTTTTCAAAAAAAAAACTTTTATTAAGTTGTCCAGAAAGTAAGGAGCTACTGAACCTCATGACACAAGACGATTTTGTGCAATAACAAACACTAGTTATTACAACATTTTCATTTTATGATAATTTAGGTATCAAGCTAAAAAAATGTGAGTTTACAATATTCGTTCTTCTTTGGTTTTTTAAATTTTGATATGCGGGATTGCTCATTCATTTTCGAGCAACATAATATTTTGAGTGGTTTATTGGTAAAGTAAGTTTTCAAAACCTATCTCGGTTTATTCATAATGCAAAGGCTGTCTCATATTGTTCGCTATAAACCAAACGTTCTGTACTTTAACACTAAACTGTTTGCTTTATACCGTTTTAACTATCTCAATTTATTTAGCCGGATAATACGTCAATCCAGAAATTATTTACCGTTTTTAGCGCTTTTTATGGACCGAAGAGACTGTTTGATCTCTACCTTATAGTCAACAATTGTGTCAATATTGATTATTTAAATCCAGATTACGTGACCTTACAAAGGCTAGCTATTATGGTAAGATAGGACTCAGCAAGGCCAACTTCTAAAAATGTTTGAAGGGTTTAAAAGTTTATAAGCTTAACTTTCAAAGCTTTGTATAATAATATAGCAATGAAACAACTGCTTTGAAAGAGCTTAAACCGTGATAAAAAAGATAATATTGAGGCTAAAATGATAACACTGAGATCATCTCATGTACCAAGCTTAAGCCTTCTATGTACATGACCTTTGCCATTCCCTGTCAGTACACTTGCGACCTTATTGTTATTCAAAGTTACTATACAAACTGAAGTGAGAGTACAGTTTATCAGTTCAAGATCGCCATTTGTGTAAATAATCGGCTTGGATTTTAAATTTTTAAAATTCTAATTTAAATTTTTAGAATAATATTGACGATGCTTACGTGACTTCCGTGACGTAAACCAACGAGCAGAGTGGCAGTATAAAAGCATACCCTTATGTCAGTTTGATATCACTTAAACAGTTTTGTCAACTGTCTTCTGTACTATCGACTAGTGTACCAGAAGTGCCATTTTGTACCAAGATGAGTTGTCTCCTTGTAGCCATGTTGTTCACCGTCGCTGTAGCTGACATCCAGATTACCGTAGTCAACCAATGTTCCCAGACCATCTGGCCAGGTGTGTGGAGCCAGGCTGACATTCCTGAGAATGGTGGGTTCGAATTGGCAGCTGGAGCTCAACAAGTCCTAACTGTACCAACTGGATGGACTGCTGGTCGTATCTGGGCCAGAACTGGTTGTACTGGCTCTGGTACTAGTCTCACGTGCGAAACTGGTGCTTGTGGTAATGGTTTGCAATGTAATGGTACCACTGGTGCTACTCCCGCTAGTTTGGCTGAAATTACCATGACGTCTACTACTGGCGGCAATGATGTGTAAGTAGTAATATTATATTGTAGTATGTAACTTATATCAATATATTATTGCATTGTAGTATATTTTGTACATCAATGTAATTTCTCTTCTTTAGATACGATGTATCCTACGTTGATGGCTCCAACATTCCAGTAGTGATGCAACCAGTCGATGGTACCTTTACTCCAGATTCCTCTCAAGGTCAATACTACTGTGCTGAAGCTGGCGCTTGTTCCCAAGACCTCAAGACTGTGGTCGTCGCTGAACTTCAAGATAATGTGAATGGCCAACTGGTCGGTTCTCTCTCCGCTTGTCTGGCTACTGGAGATGCTCAATATTGTTGTACTGGAGCCTACGATACGCCAGAAACCTGCCCCACCTCCAACTTCCCTCCCCAGTACTACTCCGACCTGAAGGCTGTGTGTCCAACTGCTTACATGTATGCTTATGATGACACGACGTCTACCTTCTCGTGCAAAGGCAGCAGCAACCCATCTCCTGATTACACTGTCACTTTCTGCCCTGGAGGCGTTGGATTGTAATTTGCTGAAATGTAGTTTTTCAAGCTTTTTGAATGTAGTTTTTTATGATTATGTCGACAATAAATCATACAGCAATAGGCTTATTATAAGTTACAACACAATTCCTCGGACTAATTTTTCAGTCCGGTTAAACATTATCTTCCTTTTTAACCTAAAACAACATCGGAAATTGCCCATATATATTTCAACAACTACTGAATGAATTCGCCTGATTTATAAATCAAATTAATCCTTATTTTATGCGTTATCTATGACAAAACATGATACCCCTGTGAAATGCATTTGAAGTGTTACATATAACTTAAACTACCCGAAGATTGACATCGATCGTACCCGATGGATAAAACAAGAACTGTTATAAAAGCGAAATATTATTTTCCATAAAAAGGTTTTATATCAGTCACTAAACAATTTGGCAACTGCACGGAAAATCGCGCCATTTTTATTCTACTGCACCGTGCAGATCTTTCCAAAACTAAAAATGGCAAAAAATGTGTTTAAAAAACCAATAACTTTCTTTACAAAACCAAAAACAGCAATAGCAATTACAAAAAAATAGCAAGAACTTTCTTTACAAAACAAAAAATAGCAAAAACTTTCTCTACAAAACAAAAAATAGCAAGAACTTTCTTTACAAAACAAAAATGACAAAAAAAACTTCTTTCGGAAACAAGAAATTAAGATTTGGACCTTAATAATAAAATTTGAGCCGGGCCTAACACCGTTCTCCAGACATGGCGGACAGTAACTAATAATGATAACGTACGTCAAGTTATTACTACGAGTTCATTTTTGCAATATATAAATAACAATGTGTGGAGGGGCGGAATTCTCCATTTATTCGATTGCTTATTACGGTCGTCTGACCAGGGTTGGAAAATGGGGAACGGCGGATTTTTTGGATTTTATTCATATTTTCAATTTGGGGGAAAGGGGGTGTTTCGCGCGCGGGGATTTTTATTTTTTTAATATGGGTCTTGCAACGAAAAATTTTGTCGATATTTAGGGGAGGGTGGGATTTTTTTTATTTTCTAAGTGCGGTAATCTTTTTCTTTTTTCTTCTTCCTCTTCTTTTTCTTTCGCTTCTTCTCCTTCTTCTTCTCCATCTTCTTCTTCTTCCTCTCCTTCTTTTTCTTCCTCCTCTTCTTCGTCTTCTTCCCCTTCTTCCTCTGTTTCTTCTCCTTCTTCTCCGTCTTCTTCTTCTTCTCCATCTTCTTCTCCGTCTTCTTCTTCCTCTTCATCTTCTTCTTCCTCCTCTTCTTCTTCCTCCTCTTCTTCTCATCTCCTCTTCTTCTCATCTCCTCCAGGACCTTCCACCTGAAAGCCCAGTCCCAAAAAATGCACCACCTTGAACTGAACTCTCAGTTTGGTCGGCGAAAACCACGATCAAACTGAGAGCCCAGCCAAAATAGTACATTTTGGACTGGTAGCGCGCCGCCACTGCTCCAAAAACTATCACGACTCCAAATGTGGTTCACTGCCAATCCCTTTCTACTCATCCGGTTATAAGACTGTGTATTAAGCTGCTTTCTGAAGGCAGCGCCAAGGACACCTTTAACCGAGATCAAGACATGGGAATTGGAGATATAGACACATTGAAGACGTAATTTGTTTTTTGGAGCGCGCACCACCCCTCCCCGCGCTTAGCGACTTCAGAAGGTTTACTAAGATCTAGACTTTTGGTCGTTTTTCAAACTCTTTTTGGACCAAAAATGTAAATTTTTGAATGAAAATAAGTGATAGTTATACGCCGACCTTATTCTAGACTAAAGTAGTTCTTCTGGTTCCCTAGGGACTTACCTTATTGTTCCTCCTCATCGGTGCTTCTTCCCCATCTGCGCCTAGGGTTGGACATTTACCGGTAAATGTAAATTTACCGGTAAATTTACCGGTAATTTTACCGGTAATTTACCGAAAATTTCGGTTTTTTACCGGTAAAAGTGTTTTGTGTCCTAGCACGAAAATTATTTTTGTTTCAAAATTTGTTTTTGTTTTGGAAAATTAGCAATATTTTGACGAAATATGTTGAAAAATATCACAGACCGTTACAAAAGAACAAATAATGACTACTTTTGCAATTATTGTGGTGCAAAATACGTCAGTAACCTTACAAGACTGTAGCAACATCTTCTGCCAACAACTCACAAGGACGGAAAATTCGATTTTTAGACTTTCTTGTTGATTTTTGATACTTTACGTATAGGTCTGTGATTATTTAGCGAAACAATTGCACTAAGATATCTTCAAATAACCAAGAACAGGTCGTGCAATTATATGAGCAAAAATGTGGAAAACAAAAGATTCCATCGAACCAAGCAGAGTCTAGTGGACAATGGTCATTCAATCATCTGTGACTAGCTACGTCAACATAACATATACCGGTAGGGAAAAAGAAGTGGACAGAGCTATTGGACTTATAAGTTGTTTTTTAAAGTAAAATAGTGAAATACTTACTATTTTATTGTTTTTGTTGTTTTAAAGCGTTTGTTAAACGTTTTAATGACATTTAAAAGTTTTTAAATACCAAATAATAATCCGGTAAATTTACCGGTAAAAACCGGTAAAATTTTTACCGAAAAATCAATTTACCGGTAAATGTCCAACCCTATATGCGCCTCTCCATCGTGCTTCTTCCCCATCTGCGCCTCTCCATCGGTGCTTCTTCTCCGTCGTGCTTCTACTGCGCCGCCCGCAAGCTCAGGGGGGTCGGGCATTTATAGGAAGCAGGGGAAAGGGCCAGCAGTGCAAAGGAAACATTTAAGCGGTACTTTTGAATTTTTGAAAAAAATCTACCCTTGCTTAAATATTATGAGGAGGAGAATCCACCCCTGTTTAAATACTTTGAATTACTAGGGGAAGAAAATCCACTCCTGTTATAATTTTGTTTTTTTATGGGTTAGAGGATGGAGAATTCACCCCTGCCTGTTTACAAAAAGTGGGAAGGAGAATCCACCCCTGCATAAATATTTCGGTAAGTTGGGGGAGGAGAATCCACCTCTGGCTAAAACTATTCATAAGTGAGGGAGGAGAATCCACCCCTGCCTAAAACTATACATAAGAGAGGGAGGAGTATCCACCCCTGCTTAAATATTTTGGATGACTGGGGGAAGAAAATCCACCCCTGCTATAATTTTGTTTTTGATGGGTTAGAGGATGGAGAATCCACCCCTGCCTAAAGTTTACGGAAATTGAGGGAGGAGAGTCCACCCTGCCTAAATATTTCTGTAAGTTGGGGGAGGAGAAACCACCCCTTCCTACAATATTTTGATGGGTTAGGAGAGGAGAATCCACCCTTGCCTAAATTATTTATAAGTTATGGGGAGGAGAATCCACCCCTGTTTAAATATTTTGGATGACTGGGGGAAGAAAATCCACCCCTGCTATAATTTTGTTTTTGATGGGTTAGAGGATGGAGAATCCACCCCTGCCTAAAGTTTACGGAAATTGAGGGAGGAGAGTCCACCCTGCCTAAATATTTCTGTAAGTTGGGGGAGGAGAAACCACCCCTTCCTACAATATTTTGATGGGTTAGGAGAGGAGAATCCACCCTTGCCTAAATTATTTATAAGTTATGGGGAGGAGAATCCACCCCTGTTTAAATATTTTGGATGACTGGGGGAAGAAAATCCACCCCTGCTATAATTTTGTTTTTGATGGGTTAGAGGATGGAGAATCCACCCCTGCCTAAAGTTTACGGAAATTGAGGGAGGAGAGTCCACCCTGCCTAAAACTATTCATAAGTGGGGGAGAAGAATCCACCCCTGCCTAAAATTTTTTATAATTGGGAGAGGAGAAAATTTTTTAAGGGTGGGGATGGAGAAACCACCCCCTTTTCAACAACTTAATTTCTACCCACCACCCCCCCCCCTTCAAGCCTAACCTTACCGTACTGTAGTCATTCCTTACCCTTGTCTTACATTGTCATTCTCTAGCCCTACCCTACCATGTCTTTCATTAGTAATCATAAGTTAATGAAAATCATTAAATTATAGCTATAAAACCTCGCAACTTAACGAAAAAGCATTAAATTATCTCTAAAATGACTTTAAATTACCAACTTTCAATCACAACTTTTAAGGCTATTATGATATAAAAAAAGTGTCAAGTTCAACATCTTGAAGAAAATTTCCCCCTGTTGCGGAATGCCAAGAATTTTCTCGATTTCATTATTTTTCTCATATTCTGGTTGGTTTTTTTATTTAAAAATTTTCCAATCAATTTTTAAACATTTTTCAAAATTTGAATGAATTCCCAATCCAAGATTTTAATTTCCAAACCCTCAACTCTCGGAGATGGCACATTACTCTACTTACTTTCTCCTGCAAGGCGGTCGTTTGCCGACGTTGTAGATTATGTGGTGTTGCAAGCGTGTGAAGGCCTCAAAATCGTCTTCGCGTTCGTTGAAAAAGCCAGGTTCGGCGACAAGCTACACCAGCGACATCTCCAGTTCGAGCTCGTCAAAGGCGCTGAGTGGAAGGGCCGAGAAGAAGCGGACGAAGAAGGGCAAAAGAGAGTTGAGGAAGAGCAAGAAGAGCGTGTCCAAGACGAGCAAGTCAAAGACGAGCAATGACGGAAAAGGCGGTTTGAAGAAGCCTCCGCGCAAGAAGAAGGGATTCGTAAGTTTTTTGATTGTTTTGTTATAATTTTAGGTATCAAAAACAACTGTTTTTGAGGGTTTTCAGGCCTAACTTGCAGTCAACGTCTGAAAAGTTTAAATTTTTATAACTAAACCTTTCACAGTTGAAGTTATACCTAAATCTCTTGAATTTAATTTACACCTCGAATTACTCGAACTTACCTAAAATCTTTTCAGTTTTCATGTTGTGCAAAAGAGAAAAAGCCACGGATTCCGCCAGCATCTCCACGCAAGTACGCTTCACTCCGAAGGCCATTGACAGTGAACAAGCGTTCCGCCCCGTCGACCAGTAGCACCAAGTCTACTTCAAATTCCAGCAAAGCAGAAGAGCACAAAAAGACTACGGCAGAGATGGAGACACCGGACGAAAAGTCGCTCAAGAGCAGAAGAGTAGGTTTTTGAGGGTATTTTAGGTATAAGAAGGTTGGAAATGTTTTAAAAAATTGTTTTTTGGTCACGAAATTTGTGCAAAATGATCTTTTTGGCTTAAACGTTACAAAAAACGGTTTGATCAATAAATTTTATTAAAAAATGTAGTTTTGGTATGATAATTTATTTTAAATTTTAATGATTTGTAAAGGCTTTGTTTTAAAATTCTTAAAATTTAGCCTGACAAGAAGAAGAAGACTGTCAAACCAAAAGTAAAACATTGTGATGACAGCGACAGTTCGGGCTCAATAAAAGAACGCGGTGATGCCGTCGATGTCAAGAAGATACCAAGAAAGAAGCATGAATATGGCAAACATGGAGCTGGTTGGTTTTTTTTGTAAAATACGTTATCGTAATCTATTTGGTTTTAATGTATAAAACTAGAATTATTTCTTATTTGTGGTAATATATGTTGTTGCCTATTCTTTTAATTATAATTTTCAGGTGACAAAGTATCCGATTACACAAGCAGCAAAGACCAAAAGGGAAAAGAAGGCAAAACAAAGAAAAAAGAGACCAAAAAAGATGACGAGACTGATTCCAAGTCTAGTTCGGTAAGAAAAATATTGTTTTAGACCAGTTCGGCAAAAAATATTGGTTTTGGTATTTGTTTTAAAGTTGAGGCACCTTTAAAGGAATTGATGAGTTGATATTAAAGTTTTCGGTTTGTAATTTAAAAATTTTGATTTTTAGAAAACCGACAGCCCACAAAAGAAAAAGAAGGAGAAGATTGAGAGAAAGAAGAAGAAAAAGGACGTGAAAACGCCAAGTGACGACACACGAAGTCCAAAACAGGTGGTAAGATGCTATTTTTAAGAATCTTTCTAGCATTTTAGGCCATTGTATGCAACAATAAGGGGTCAGAAAGGGTCTGTAAGATTTCATTAAGAGTAATGGACTTCTATCTCAATTGTATTTCATATTTAAAAACGATTAAATAAAGTATTATAAAATGTCAAAGTTTACAGCTAGTTTTGTAAAATTGTAACTTTTTTAGACCGATGATTCAACCGACGTGAAGTCAGAGCCCAAAGTCAAGGAAAAGAAGAGAGATGACAGTTCAGACACTACGTCTTCTCAAACTTCATTGGCGGTAAATAATTTTTTTGTGAAATTTAGGGATATCAATTGAAACTGGCCTTAAAAATATTTAAGTCATCCTGATCTGGGCAAAAATCATGGGGGTAGAATTTAGTCCTAGTCAGGGCTGGGCGTGAGGGGGGGAAGTACCCCCCCCCCTAGAAAAAAAATTTTTTAAAAAAAAGTTTAACGTGGCAGCTATTTTGTGCCAATTTTTTGGACCCCCGCCCCCAGACCAAAAGTCCCCGCCCGGCCCTGGTCCTAGTGTTTTTGGATTAAGTTGAGGGTTACTTCACGTAGAGTTTAAAAATACATTTTTTAGTTGATGTCAATTTGAATTTATGTTAAGTTTGAATATTATTTTTTCAGAAAGAAAGCTCAGAAGTCGAAATGCCAAAAGCAAAGAAAGGCCAAAAGGAAAGAGGAAAGAGAAGAGCAGAAAAGAAGGATGAAGAGTTCAAACGACATGATCCTCTCGTAAGTAATGGTACTTTTTCAAGATTGCTTCTGTAAAAAGTTCTGATCTTCAAAAACTACATGTTTGTTATCTAAATTTCAATTTTTTTGGATTTTCAATGAATTTTTTTAAAAGAAAAATGGCGTTTTAATTAATTTTTTTTAAATATTATTATTAACCGCTCAATTTCAGCCCTCCCCCAAGAGCAACAAGCCCACAGCCTGGAATGAAGAAGCACTTTTGGGTCCGGAAGGCCTGAAAGCCGCCCAAGACAGAGCTGCTTACATGATGGACAAGGTGGAGAGATTGATGTTCGAGTTCTCTTCCTCATGCCGCAACGATTACATGTCTCTGGTCCAAGAAATCTACATTACCGCATACCACATACGCCAATGGCTAGCCGAAGCAAACAGGGATGATTTGCAAGATGAAATTGTCGAAGCGACGATTGTCATGGAAACGGCACGTCAATTCCATCACCTATTGCGAGCTTACCACTGCGAGCTAATTGAGGAAGGATCGTCGGAGTGAAAGGCGAAACAATTAATACGTTGGCTTGATAAATTTGAATAAATTTTGGCATTTTGTAGATTGATTTTGGTATTTTTAATCGTTTTGAAGCGATTTTGATTATTTTAATATATTAAAGGACCGGATTGAAAAATCGGGCCCGGTCTCTTTACAGGTATAATAGGAAGGATTGGGTTGTTTAAATAATTCTGTCCTTCCTCTAAAAGCAAGTTATTGGGGTTAATGGCACAGAATTTAATCGAGCCTCATAAAGAAACAATGAAAAAATTTTATGTTGATTTTTTGAAATGTAACCTAACATAATATATGTTAGAGTTGAATTATTTATTGTTGTGTTAAAATGTAACAAGGAACTTGAACATGTGTTTACGACACAACTGGTTTTTGAATACTGGCCTGAAAATAGTTATTAGGAATACATTAGCAAAGCAGGACAAGTAACTTTTGGAAGAATACGTTTTTAAGTTTTGGTTTGAAAGATTTTGCATTTTTTTGTCAAAGTAGGGGTGGATAATTTTATTTTTTTAAAGAAAGAGATAAATTATCACAAAAAATATTTTAAAATATTGAAGAAAAAATATTTGTTGATAAGTGTCAAAGAAAGTCTTGTTGTTTTTTAGCGTGAAGATATGTACAAATTGACGACAAAACTTTTGACACCTTAATATTTTGTATATCAGACAAATTATAGCTTTACAATTTAATAGTGCGCTACTCTACGATAGCAGTAAAGTAAAAAACTAACGTTAGATATGCACTTTGAAAAAACACATGTTGCTATATTGGAAAAGGTCTACACTTTTCATATACTTTAGTATGGACACTACTTTACATGGTATGTTATGTACAATACTGTACCAACGTTGTAAAGTATTCATATTGCTAAATAACTTGCCACTCTTATCAAATATTTACTTTGATGATAATGTATGCATGTTAATATGCATAGTATTTCAATATTTAGTATCAACCTTACTATAAGATGTATATTAAGCATGGTAATCACTTCCTTATTTTTACTTCTTGAAACTTTTAACTTATTAACTGTGTCAAATGTGATTATTGTGCAGTTTATTCAATAAACCTAATGTATTCGACTGGGTACTTAGTATTATGAATCAAATTCAATTAGTGATTAGAAGCCAATTGAATAGCTAATAGTGCTTTACAACTGAGTTACAGGTTTTTACACATTGTATCTTGGGTTGAGCGATGTGGAAGGGACTTTTTTATTGTTATATACAGTCAATCCTTTTTAGTATGGCACTGAAGGGACTGTTCCAAACCAGTCCTTATTAACCAGGATGTCAAACTTCTCCGTTTTTTTTTGATAAAAGTTCGTTTACACAAGGCGGACAGGTGAATTTCTGTATAACGAATTGCGCGGGGATTCAAAAACTGCTCTTTATGAAAGGGTTTTGATAAATAGGAGTCTTAAATGGAGTGGATATTGATAAAGGGAAGTCAAAAGTTGCTCGTTATACTGAAACTTTGTTATAGAGAACGTCCTTATAGAGGAGTTTTGCCGTAAAAAATTATATTTTTTCTAATATAAAGGAATTAAAAATATCTTTTAAAAGATACAGACTTTTTTGAATAACGTTTCTTACGTAGCAATAATAAATAATATCACGTCGACCATAAATTAATTACTTACATCTACAAAGCGTTCATTTTACTTTGTGGTTTCATATGTTTTTGATAAATTAGACGGTCTTTGCATTTTTAACACATATTCAAGTAGAACTCCTGTATAACGAATCGCTCGGAGCTTCTAAATTTCTTGTTATAAAATAGTATAGGTATACAGGAGCCGTGTATGCTCTGTGTAGTGCCAGCTGGGGACTTAAAAGCTGTTTGTTATACGGGATATTTGTTATAAAGGGTAGCTTTAAAAATGGCACGTTCAGAAGTCATAAAAATTAAATTACAGAGTAATTTTAAACTTTGTGTTTCTACTATGATATTTGCTAATAACGTACTCAAAGCTCGGTAATAAGTGTATTAAGTAGCAAATAATTGAAAGGTAACTTTGTTAAATTTCATAAAGTCGTACACTATAACTCCTGTATCACGAATTGTCGGGGCATTTCTAATTTATTTGCTATACAGGAGTTCCACTGTATATTTCTATTTTATCGCAAATCCATGTTGTTAGTATGAAAAACAATGTTTAAAACTTGACATTTTGTAGAATATATATATAAATAGATAATATTTATTTCCTCTCTTATTTATATTATAGTATGGGTTCAACCTGATCAACTTTAAAAATAAATTTTGCAATATTTGGCTTTAAAGTTCACTGTTTAGTGTTAATAAACATTGCAATATCACAATAACTTCATTACAAATTTTATTGTTTTTCAAAACAAACAAGTTTACTTATGACACGGTAATCACAATTATCGACCATTTTTGCCATATTTTTCAAAACTCAAATCAATAAGCATAAAGTTTTCATTTTATTGAACATAAGCTGTACAACTGCAGTTTAAATTTTACTATGAAGTTATACTGCCCGATTAAGTTTAACAAAGTTACAGTCTGATTATTTGCAATTAAATAAGCTTACCACACAGTTTTGAGTACGTCAGTAGTAAATATGATAGTATAATAGAAATACGAATTTTTGAGTTACTCTGTAATTTAATTTTTGTGACTGTGGAACGAGTAATTTTTTTAAATTAAAATTTTGTATTTGGCAGGGGAGGATAAGGTAATAGGAAATTATGTGATTTTTTTGGTCGCTAAATCTGAATAGGTTATTTAGCAGTTTTTGTAAACCAATTTTCCGGTAACGTTTTATGCTCTTTCATCCTATTATATATAGGTATTGTTCTAAAGCTTGAGCAATGTTTGATGCAACACTCTTGTTATGCCAGATTAGCCACTTTTTACCGTGATAATATAACTCTGCTTTACTACGTATTTTACATTTTTTACACAATTGTTAAAAGGTTCAAATTACCAAATGACATTTGTATAAAGCTGCGACTAATTCTTGATATATTGTACAACTGCGGCTTACAAACTGGACTAAAAATGCATATAGTTGAATTTTTCGATGTTATGGTATTCTCAATACCATTATTTTGCCTCTACTTGAAGTTGGTGGTATCTTTGTTCAAGAAGAGAAGAGATTTCTTTTCTGCTTTCTACAGAATCGTACTTGTTGGTGGTATTATTGTAAGTTTGAAATTTATATTAGGTAGCTCAATTAATTTGGTCTAATGAAATCGTTGACGATTTAGGAAGAAGAGAATTTAAAATAGTACTGGACGATACTAAATAGTACGAAATAACTTGTTTTTTATTTTTTTAGCAGTAAAAAATATAAAATTTAGAATAAAAATAAAAATTTGGTTCTTGTGGTACTATATAGTACTAAATAGTAAAGTGCTATGAAAGCAAAAAAAACTTTTACTTTTTAATGCTAAAATCTAAAAAATAAAAGTATTATTAAATACGAAAAAAAATAATTTAGTACTATTTTTAAAAGTACGATTTAGTATCAAAAACTTTTTTTTGGTTTTTTGAGCAAATGACAAAAGTAAGATAGCTTCAACTGAAACAGTACGAAGGCTGTCATTATAAACTCACATAAAGCATATTTCCAGGACTGTATAAACTTTGGACTGTCAATATTAAATTTTCGACTTGTCAATACGGACTTTTTCTACAATTTATTCCAAGACATGATTGAAGAGTACACGTACTGGTTAACACCCGTTCGATTCGGTACATATATGTGTGTATTCATGACACAGATGACGCCGTTGTTAATGTCAGTTAACAGAGCTACCAGCTTATGTTTACCATTGAAATACGATTTTATTTGGAGAAATTACTTTAAAATCATGTGTTTCTCTTATATTGTAGTACCTTTTTGTTTTACTTTTCAACTTCTTGTTAAGCCCGTGGCAGTTCTAGTTTACTTTCATGAAGGTGACAGATATGTCGCTACGGATTATGATCATAGCTACACGTTTGGAGTATGTGTTACCGTAAATTTAGATTTTTGTTTATATTCTCTCCCTATTTATCCTGCCCTTCTTGCCTTGCCTTGCCTTGTCCTTGCTTTGCCTTGATTTGCCTTGCCTTACACCCTACTATTATATTCTACAATAAGACAGCATAACCTACAGTACTCTATCTTACCCTACTCTACCCTTCCTTGCTTTTTCTTTTCTATATATTCATAGTGCTAAATCTTACAGATACTGTAATTTTTATAATTTAAACTTATTTTTTTAGTTATCAATGTCAACATCACTGATAATCTATTCCAGTTTGACCAGCCTTTTAACTTTGACATTCAACCTTATTTGTGCTGTAAAACTAATTAAAACTAAATTAACTCAAACCAATATACGTAACAGTAATTATCGAATGGTGCTGTGTTCTATGGTGGTGTTTTTGAATGAAGTAATACTAACTGCTTCTCAGGTATGTTACCTCTATATGTTCATCTACTTACATCTTAATGAAGGGCGATAGTATTATACGTAGTACACGGGCTTTGTCAAACAAATTACTGTATCATATACTATAAGTACTGTACTAGTATAATAGTAATTGTACTACAGATAGTGCGGTACTAATCGTACTAAAAATACTATAAGTACAGTACGATAGGTACTGCTCTGAACATCTTGCAGTTTTCATTGTATATGGTAGTAAAACAACCGTACTATCAGTACTTAAGTAACAAGTTACAGTACTGTCAATCTCTCAGTATTATCAGCATCTCAGTACCAAGTTACAGTAATCTTTTCAGTTATTCTTCCAACGAAACATATTCGAAATGGTATTAACTATGCGGGTGATAATACCCTTTATATTCGACATTCATAGTCTTATGCCTGGGTTGATAATCGTATGTACTGTACCACAACTACGACAAATCACATTTGGAGGAATCTTTGATGCCGGTGACAATACGAAAACAATATTTGTTTCTACTGTTTCTTTGAAACAATAAATGGCATTTGCAATATTATAATGTTTGAATAAATAGCGAGCCATTTTGGCTCAAATAAATAATACTGTATTTTACAATTTCATACTGTAACTTTAAACTTTAAAATTTTTTTAACTGTATTTTTCAATTTAAACTGTTGTTTTCGATATTATTGTGTACTTTACAACATTTTAGAATCAATTGCATTACTAATAATGGCAAAAAAAGTTTTGTCGTTTTTAAACATTGTTTTACGCATTAAAAAGCGACAAAACTTTTTTTAACGCCTAATGAAAATATTATTTTTAAAAAATTTAAAAATATTTTAAAACTGTGATTATCTACTTCTTTTTTCACATTTTTTATAATAATTTATTACAGTATCATTGTATTTAAAACAACGGTACTGTAATATGCAAACATTATACTGCAATAACAATGCCAATACCTTGTATAAAATGCCGACACCTTGTCTATAATGCATATTTATTTAGTCGAAAGCATAAATATATATTACTTAGAGTATATTATCACAGAGACAAGGGAATCTTGTTTTCCTTTTTTGGCTTTCAAAGCGCGGTTCGATACTAAAACGAGGAGACTATCAGGGTATTTACACTAAGAAAAGAGATTGCTGTGCACATCAAATATCAATTTGGAGGGCAAGAAGGTCGCGGGGTTACGGTAATCAAACGGTGAAAAGATACGGTAATTTGGAAATAAAAGATTACTGTATTGAAAACATAAGAAGATACAGTAACCAGAAAGTGAAATGTTACAGTAATCATGTGATAACTGTTACAGTAATCGTATCATAACTGTTACAGTAACCACATTATAAGGGTTATTCTAGTAGAAATATAAAAAATACTGTATTTATAAAAACGTTACAGTACTCTAAATGTTACAGCATGAAAAATCACAAACTACAACCTAATAATGATACTGTATAAACGAATACTGTGAAATATTGTTGTATAAAGAAATACTGTACTTGATAGAAGATACTGTATAAGGGGATACTGTATTAAGGAACGCTTTGGCAAGAGCGATATGTGACTTGACGATATAACATAATATAGTAGTGATATATCTTGAAATGATAGTAAGATATAATCAAAATTTATTATTTTACAGAAATAACAGGTTACTGTAATGTTAAAGAAAGAAATTTACAGTAACCTTCAAAATAGATTTGACATATAAAATAGCTCAAACTGTGATATGATTAGCTATTACTTTCTATTAGATTGTTCAAATAAATCTGTGCCCCCTTTCAAAGCAATGTTTTGAAACAAAGGGAGCACAGAATTATTTGAACAACCATCTACTATGATATGTAGAGAACATATAATGTTAATGCCGTTCGGATGAAAAATGCGATTTGATAAAAATGTTAGTAAGAGGGTTAGTTGAACTTGACTACAACGAAGGATTGGGCTTTCAGATCCGCCACCTCTGCCTCGGTCAGCTCGTCGAAGAAGCTGATTCGACCGCCACCGCTCAAGTTGTATTCCATTGTGGATTTGGCCTGAAAATAGAAAGCGATTAGTATTTTAGATAACAAATTTAAGCTTTTTTAAGGTTTAAGTACCGTTTCTTTAAATTTTAGGTGACAAACTTAAAAAATTATATTTTAGGTTACAAAAACGTAAAAACGATATTTTAGGTAACAAAATTTTTAAAAATGACATTTTGTGTAACAAAACCTTTTCAACATCCCAAAAAATTTACCTTAAGCTCCTGACTGATGACCTGACCTCCTTGTGGAATCACCATGGTGCCTTTAGCGATCACCGGCGATTGCAACACTTTTCCATCAATGGCCGAGATCAAAGTGCCAGCGGGCGACGTAAAACCGGTCACTGAGGTTTTGCCTGCCACCAATGTCAACTCGTTACTATTGCAAATCTCCGTGTTGACCTTGATGCCTTCTCCATTCATCGACGACTCATCTGAAGCCGCTTGCATGACGCCAGAGATGGCTCCGGCGATCAGAGCCTTTTTGAAGCCTTGAGCTGATGCTGGATGCTTCAACGTTACTTCAGCTGGATTCGACTGCAATGAAGCTAATACTAGGCCTAGATTCGTGGCTGCTTTCACACTTTGCACTTTAGACTCGTCTAAAACCGCGGCCAAAGTCGTGGCATTCAAGTTATCCAAGAAGCTAGCCGAGTTTGGGAAAATGTTTACTGGCTTATCAGCTGGTGCCGAGAGCATTGGTGTGCAAATCACCTTAGGATTCTCCATCAAATTTCTGCTACCGTCTTCGCCAAACGTGTCCAACGCAGCGCCAGCGATTCGGCCGCTGTTCAAGGCTTCGAGCAGATCGTTCTCGTAGATAAGTTCAGATTTAGAAGTGTTTACAATCTTTACAGTTGGTTTACAGCGTCCCAACGTGGTGGCGTTGATCAAATTGGTGGTTTGTGGGAGAACCGGGCAATGAAGAGTGATGTAGTCGGCGTCACACCAGATATCATTGAGTTGGCGGTACTTTATTCCACGTTTTTCGGCTTCCTGAAGACGTGAGGGTAAGAGAATGTTTATTAAATCCTAATTTAACTTTTGTTACTCATTTGCCCCCAATAATTAGTTTTTACATCCAAAATCAATGACAGTTTGTCAGTTTACGCCTATTTACCGTCTAGCTCACACAATGCATATAATTTCACGTTTTTTCTCCATAATTCGACAAAGATCCTCAAAAATGGTCAAATTGTTGCCAAAACCAACAGTAAAATGTTGTAAAACTTACATTCCGAGTAACCAACGGGTCGTATCCAATCACTTTCATGCCAAAAGCTTGCATTCTTTGAGCAACTTCCATTCCAACTTTGCCCAAGCCAATGATGGCCAAGGTTTTGCCGAACAAATCCTCTCCCATGAAGTCTCTACGAGCACATTCTCCTTTTCTCATGGCTGCTGAAGCTTGTGGAATGTTCTTGGCTAATGCTAGGATCAATGAGCATGTCACTTCGGCGGCGGCACGAGTTTGGGCCACTAAAATGGAAGCAATGAGCTAGTGTAATATAATTTCAATGTTGATTTTGATGTTTTTTGACATTTCTGTAAGTTCTTTATAAATTTTTTGGTGTTTTTGAATTTTAGGTGGAACGTTATGTTGGTATTATTAAAACACATTTTGGCAGTTTTGCCACCTAAAATAGCCAACTTACGATCTTCTTGCGAAACAGCGTTGTTCTTCATGTACTTTTCAAGGTAGTCGGAAGTCTGTTGTTGTAGAGCTCCGAACTGATTTTGGAAAGCGGCGGCAGCGGCTGCTGCAGCTTGTGCTTCCTTCTCCTTCTTCCTGTTGTGAACCTTGTTCAATGCCTTCATCAATTCGGACCCGGCTTTCGGCTTCTGAGGGCTTTGTGTCGGCGGCCTCATTGTTGGTACTGATAGTCCTGCCAAACTGAACAAAGCGTTGAAATCTGGTTGGTTTGGGTTGTCGAAGATCTTGAAACTGTCGAATGTCAAACTGTTCAGGTTTTCGTCTGGTGAATGTGACTTTTCTCGCTGATCTTGAAGTTGTAGTAGAGCGTCGAGACCGTTCTTTTTGGCTGGAGGACCAGAAGTCTCCATATCGTCATCCAGAAGCCTTAATGGTGACGTGGTTGGAGTAGCAGCAGAAGCCGAGGTGTTTGTGTGATTCATGGCCGAGCCATCTGATCCCGAGTGGTTGCTACTGGTCGATTGTGCTGTACCATCATCTTCATCAGGTTTAATCGCTTGTTCTAAACCCTTGGCCCACGAAGCCCACTGATCCATGTTCAACGGACTAGACTCGTTAATTTCGCATTTAATTCCACCGCCTGGGGGTGTTTTCTGTCTGGCTGCGCCTTCGGCGGCCATCTTCATGCGGGCTCTCTTGTAGCCACGTTCGAACGTGACCTTCAGTCTGTTGTTGGATTCCTCGATCGTTAGTGGTTGACAGAAGTGGTCGGAGGCTTCTGGCCAGTCGGGATCGTTGATGAGCATGTCATTCTTGACCGCGATACATGGTACAGCTGGAAGTTTGTCCTTCGGAGCCAGTCTTTGGAGCCGATGCCTGAGGGCACGACACGCCATACACCGGTAGTAAACTGTGGTCAAACCGGACTGATTTGTGAACCGGGTTTTGTACGCGAACTCACGTCGACATCCAGGGAAGGCTCTGGAGTCGTATATCAGAATCTGCCGCCCGTAGCCTGATGGAGCGTAGACTGGCTTCATTGGCTGAAAAGGCGGGAAGTTTGAGGAAGGTGGAGCCGCGGGCTTGATTATTGAAGCTAGGGAAGCGAATTGGCCCGACGAGGGGAATAATGTGCTGAGGTCGAAAGGCCGCTGCTCTTCAGTAGCGGTTTCGTCCATTTTGAGATTCTGAATCTGGAAAATTTGAATATTATAAGGGTTTCTTGGATGAACACACGAAAAACGGTATGTTAATGGCATGGCACGGTAAATTCACGATACAAATTAAGTATAACGATCAAAAAATTCACATAATCATACATAACATCTAAATTTTCAAAAATCCCAAAAAATCATATTTCAAAACTAAAAAAAATGACCGTACATTGAAAGTGGGTCAAAATCAACGAGCCCATCCCATTTCCGAACGCAATTCCAACCTGGGTTCCGGATTTCTTTGGCCATCAGTCGGTAAAAAGTCAGCCGGCTGGCCCGCGCCGATTATTAATGCAAAATAAATTAAAATTCAAGGCCCAACAGAGCAGGACTCTTCTTCTCAAGCATTATTCAATGGAATTCGAGGGGAAACATCGAGTTTTACAATCAATTATGGCCAAAAACATTATTTTAGGTAACAATTTTTTTTTAAAATTTGATGTAAACTTGACTTTTATAGTTAAAATGTATGCAAATGATTGCGAAAAGTGATAAAATGTGGAAAGTTTTTAATTTCAAATTCGATTTTAACGAAAAACATTATTTTAGGTAACAACTTTAAAAATTATGCCAAAACCAACAAAACTGGAATAAAAGCCTAAATAATAGTATAATATACTATGAAAACGAAATACCAAGCTGATCGAACGGCCTCAACAATTACAATTAACAATAAAGTAACAAAAGCCATGAGCAATTCCGCAAATTTCGTTGCGGCCAAGAATAAAGGGGACCTTTCGAGGGGCCAACGCCGTCTTTTGATGGGAAAACCGGAAGAGCAGGTCATGGAGAATAGTTTCCTAATTTTAATAACTAAACAACTTTGAAAAAAGGCCAAGGAAACACGGAAATTTGAAAAAATTAAAATTTTTGAATAATTGGCCAAATTCTAGAAAATGTATCATGATGACACCTTTAATATGCAAATAAAACTAAAAAACCAAAGCTAAAATCAAGTTCTATAACAACTCTAAACTCTTAAAAAATAAAATTAACTGAATAAACAAAACGTAAAAGGTCATTTCAACACAAAACTGACATATTTTCTATAATTTCGTCTCGCGCAGTTTAAAACTGGCAATTAATCAGTCCCCAAATAACTACCTGTCCATAAAGGGGAACCGAGAGATAAATGAAGCAGCGACTGCTTCCTTATCTCCCGTTTCCATCATCAAGGTCGTCCCAATAGGTTCTGGGCCAGCGCTGCGCACAGGTTTGTCCAAGTCGGCGACCAACCTTTTCTTATTGGCTTGGCTTTTCTTGATGGGAAGAGGTGAAAATTAGGTTTTGTGTAATATAAAAGGTTTTAAAAAGTTTGAAAAATAGTTTGAAAGACTTTAAAGAACCTTATTTAAAGTTTGGCATATAATTACCTAGGAAAAATTATATTATAGTAGATGTAGGATCAAGTTTGACATGTTATACACCCATAAAACTAGACAGTGTTTAGGTTGTTCGTGATGTAATTATAAAAAAGCTTGGTTTTGGCTGCCGAGCGATTATTGATGTAATGTAAAATCGATTTGAGGTCAAAGGGCTTGGCCAAAAAAAGAGCGTTGTCCTATGGCCATGTGTAATATTTTGGCCACGTTGGATCAAAAAATTTTTGAAATTGATTTGGCTAGACAAGGTCAAAATCTTGGCCTTACACTGTGATAACAAAAAATGTCCACCCCCCCCCAAGCAATCCCCCCCCCCCCTTCCCATATCACACCCTACCTTGTTCTATCACACCGCAAACCTCCCAATCTCTCCTTCATCCACTAATTACCGTATCTAATCTGCCCATTGTCCAATTAAGACCTCCCCCCCCCTCTTCCCCAATATTGTTGACCCATTTCCTCGGCGGCTATTAATAAGACGTGCGCGACAAAAACTGGACCCGGATCATCGTAACCTTGGCGTGCCCCGATTCCAGAAGTCGTTGCTTCAGAGCAATTTTGTTGTTGGATTATAATAACTTTTTCTCTCCGTCGTCGCCGCCTTTGACCCTTTTCCGGGAACGCCGATCCAATGCCCCAAATTCGGCGTGACCGAGGATTCTGAAGGCCTTTGGCGGAAAAAAAGGACTGGGTTAAGGGGTTGGAGATCAAGGTTTCTTGCGAGGTTTTTGCTACTTTAGAGGGGGGGGGGAATTCTACCTACTATAAGGTCATATAAACATTAAATGTAAAAAAAAGTTCAGATTGAACATACTAATCTATTATATAAGTTGTTCAAATAAATCTGCGCTCCCTCTCGAAGAAAATTTTTGAAGTAAGGGGGCACATAACTATTTGAACAACCTAATATAATGCTCTATAAACGCCCTAGGGCCAAGGCCATATCAGTGTCTCTCTCTCTGCTCTAAGCCTATAGTTAAGGCTTAAATTGCCAATGCCTAAACGTGGGACTAAACCTAAATCAATACTAGTCCCATCTTTAGGCTCTACACTATCTTTAAGTCCCAGCCCTAACGGGTGAGGCAAGATCCAAATCCTTGGATCTTACCTTACCTTAAGCCTCAAGCCCTAGCCCATACTCTTACTCTATTCCAATCCTTGGATCTTGCCTTACCTTGAGTCTTTAAGCCTAACCCCATGCCCTGCCTTAAACCCTAGTCCCATCCCCAAACCCTACCCCACCAACCGGCCAAACTCCAACAAAAAACCCCGCCACCTCTAGAAACAAAACCCTGAAAACTACCGCGCGCCCCCGATCCGGCTAGCAGAAGAGTGACCGTGCCAGAGCATGGGGCAATGGCGAGAATTGTGTGGCGGAATCTCGACGGGGGGCGCCGATCCGGGGCCCCGCCCATCGTGCGCCGTGTCCGACTTTGCCCTGTTTTGCCGCGTGCGGCTGTCCTTTTCCTTCTCCTGCGACGACGACGATGAAGGAGAAGAAGGCTGTTGCTCCCAATCTACTCGCTGAGGCTGAAGAAGAATGCCACGGGGCTTGTCGATGTTTTGTGCCCGGCGGCGACGACGGAGAGAGAGAAAAAAAAACGAAATGTAATCGGACTTCAGTAAAAAAATCAGAAATCGGACCTTGGAGATGAAACTCGGTTAGTGGAAGACGGGATAGTGTACAGGGAAGGACATTGAGTTAGTTGAGGAGGAACTAGTATATTATCGACAATATGATAGTAGGCGACTATATACGAAAGTTACTTCAAGATAGTGGTATTGTTGAACCAAAAGTAGTACACTTTTTAGTTGAAAACTAAAGGATGTCCCGCTACATTTAGTTCAACATAGACCATCGACCCCAAGCTACTCAAAAGAAAAAAGACTCGACCCTTAGGTTAGTTGAAGAAAAAGTAGAATCAGCCCGATGCGAATCGGACCTTGAAGTAGAGACTAACCCTTGAAGAAGGGCGACCTCCTGTGGATCCGGCTCACGACAATATCCCCCCTTCAGGGCTCGGCAAGTTAGAGGAGAAGAGAGAAGCGGCGCGGCTTTGAAGCAAACACTAATAAAGCTGGTTCCGTTAACGGGAAAACCGAAGGAGTGGGAAAACAACAATGGTTTAGGAGGTGGTTTTGAGGGTTTAGGCCATTAAGGGGGTGGTTTTCAGTTTTTTGGCAATTAGGGGGTGACTTTGAGGGTTCAGGCAAAAGGGGGGGGTAACCTTGAGGTTTTAGGGCAATTAGGGAGTGGTTATAAGACGAAAGTTACACAAAATGTCACAGTAAATTTTTTGGCCTCGATCCCCCTCCCCCCCCGCGCTAAAAAACGTAGCGACTTCCCTGGTGTCCATAAACCTCCACCCACGGTTAATGCCCATAAACCCCCGCCCCACAAAAATTGCCATACCCAAAAACTTCAACCTTCTAATTAACCCCAACTTTGTTACCTTTTACGGCTGCGCCCGCCCTTAATTTAAGCCCTAAACCGTCGACTTGAAGCTGTCAGGTCAGTCGGGCGATAAACCTTAAAACAAGACTTGAATTAGCAAAAACGCAGAGATCCGTTTTTTACTGTCAAGATTTTGAAGACAAAAACAAGCAGATTAGAGAGGGTCGTAAAGTTTTGGGTATGGATTCATTAATTTTACGGTTTGGAGTGGTTTAGGCTTGGTTAAGGTCAAGATTTTGAGGTGAATAAGGCTAAAATGCTAGTTTTTTGATAAGTGTATGACATTTCTCCTGAAGATAAACTTTTTTTGTCAAAAGTTACATTTCACCTCAAATAAAACGCCACTTCAGTCGTATTTTACCTATTTTATCCAAAAAAAATCAAAAATCCAGCCAAAAACAACAAATTGAACTACGTTAAAAATGACCCAAATTAGATAGGCAATATTTAAGCTATTAACACGCGTTTATCGCACACGTAAGACAATTGTAAATCGACCTATTAAATACGTAAAAGGTTAACTATCGACTGCAGCGTAATGAGTTAATACACCTGATTTATGGAGCTGTAAACTTAAAATTGCTAGAGATAATGGCAAAATACAACGCCAAATTTACAAAAAAAAGAATTTTGAATCTTTTTCCCTTGTGATATATGCCTTTTTAGCCCTAATAGTCCCATTTTCCTTCAGAAACCAAGAAAAGTTAGGAAATTACGCCCCTTTCCCGTCTACCTTTTAAACTGCATATAATTTCACGTTTTTTCTCCATAATTCAGCGGGAAACTTCAAAAATCGGCGATTTTGAAAGCTTTTGTAAAAAAGTGTTAAAATTTAAAAATTGAGTAACATTCTTTAGTTTTACTTAATGAATTTGCTAACTATCCTGGTTAGACCCTAAATTCTTAACTCTACAATCTTCCCTACTGTCCCCACAAAAGAAATAGTATACCACCCTGTATTTTGCGACAAAACCGACCATTACCATATCCTTCAGAGCCGACTGCCCAACGTCCACTTAAACTCGCCTCTGATCGGACGAATCCCCTTTATTTTGGAATCTCTTCGTCGCAGTTTCGCCTTGGAGCCACTCTGTCCCCGAGACGTAAAAGTGACCCGATAAAGGTCGTCGGCGCGTCTTCAGGTGGCGTGTAATCGGCTGCGGCCATCACAACTCGCCCACTGTACTTTTGCCCCGCCTCGGCAGTTACAGCTGTAAAATCAGGTGAAGGCGCGGGGGTTGGGTATGGAGTTTTGGGGGTAGATTGCAAAATTTTAGGATTTTTTTTTGATTTTAGAAGACAGGATTTTGAAAATTTTAATTTTAAAAATAGCTTGATGACAATTTTAAAAGACAATTTCAAAGTAACAGTCCATTTCGTTGCCAAAAGAAATGGTTTAAATAATTCGGGCGTACATAAGTTGTAAACAATTCGGCCGTACGTAAGTAGCCAACTTATGTACGGCCGAATTATAAAAAATCAAATTTTATCGCAGAAAACCTCAAAACTTCTAAAATTTTTGAACATATTAGTAAAAACCTTTACAATGTTTTAAAATATCCACAATACCCATGGCCAATCACCTGCCACCCAACCACAATACCAAAAGACCCAACCAACCTGATCAAAACACCCCTCCAGCCAGCAGCCAGCCAAGTAAAGCAAAAACAATTTGGGAGCTGACTAAGAAAACCGTTGGTCGCTAATTAATTTCCACTGACTGACTTCACACAGCCCGTGGTTCGGTCGCGTCGCCTCGCCAATGTGTGTTGCTTCAAGGCATTTCGACGATCGAAATGCGTGGCTGTGACGGAATGGGACCGACCAGCCCCGGCGGCGGTTGGTAAGGGGGGAGAATAGAGGACAGGTCGTCGCGATGTGCATCATGGCCTTGAACGCGCAGCCATGAAGAGTTTTAAAGCGATGCGACATCGCCGACCGGTGAGGAGGGGGGGCGGGGGGGTGGAATTTGGCAAATGCGATGGGACCGGCCATTAAACTGCAAAGGTTGTTGATCAAAGCTTTAAGGTCGTTGGTTTAATGGCTGCATGGGTTAATCGGCGGCTATTAAGACTGGGACAGAGGGTAGGGGGAGAGGAGTGGTTTAGCCAAATTTTTAAAAGAATTTGCATAAAAGTACAGTAAGCCAAAAAAAACAGAAATTATAAGTTGAAATCATTTTTTTATAGCATAAATACTCTAGCAAAAAAACAGTAACCTCATTGCCCTAAGGCCAAAACTAAAGCCAAGTTTTACAAAAGTACAGTACCATTGCGCCCAAAATTAAATAGCATACTGTCTCCCCCCTCCCCCCCTTTCCTCAAACCATCCCTTTGCCCACAAAGTCTCCTACCGTATGCCCTGAAGCAAAGTTGGAATTGAAAGCCAACCGCGCTGTCCCATCGTGTGGAAGCGGCGTCGCGAGAGGATTCTCTCGACCTCGCCATTGGAGTCCATCGGACCAGGACGAGAGCCAGCCGACTCATCGGAAGGCAATGGGGTCAGTGCGCAGAACTTTGTTTCCCTACGATCCCTAACTGGGTCTCTTTTCATTTTTTTTCAAAAAATATGATTTTAGATAGTAAGTAGAAGCATTACAATACAAAAAAGGCCCTGAGGCTTTAGTATGTTATCTTAATCAACAAGTCTTACTTTCGATTATCTAAGGTTAGTTAAGCCCCCTTAGTCAAGCTTAATCCTTTCTCCCCAGAATCCCGTCCCTGTTTTCCCCGTCAGAATCCCCCCCCCCATTCACCCCTAACCCGATCTCCTTGGGGCTCCCGAATCGCCGGTGTTTCGGCTTCAGCGCGCCCAATTGTCGTGCCAGTCCGCCGGACCCCAAAGGCTCTTCTCTCGCGTCGCCACCTTCATCGTGCCCGACACAAAACGCGGCCTCACCAAAGTTCTGAAGACAACAGAAGAATTAGGGAGTTGTAAAACAATAAAGATCAGGGGAAGGAAGATCAAGAAAGATGGCAGATGAAACAATAGGAGGCGTAGGAGAGCCAAGGGTACAGTTGGCAACAGTTTTTGGTTAGGATATAGGCAAGGTGGAGACGGTTTAGCTAAGAAAGAGTAAGCAAAATACATGTTAGCCTAGGACGCTTGAGCAGAGTACTTTTAGCCTGGACTAGTCGAGCAAAATATAAAGAAAAGGCAAATCAATTTCGAAAATCAAGACCATATGATGCCCTGAAGGCAGCTGATGCTCAAGAAGCAGTAGAGAATGTCCAGACACTACAAGTACCATAAGATAGTTACCACAAGTACCACAAGATTCACCATAAAGTCCCACTTATACCAAAAACACAATTTTCAAATCCACAATACGATTGTCCTCCAAATCACTCGCGTCGTATTTTAATTGGAAACATTTTGGCTTAAAGGTCAACAACAGATTTTATAGGTAGATCGCGTAATGGCAATCAAATAAAACTCAAAGTGCATCGTTTAACAGACATTTACAGAAAAGAATATTCAAATGTTGCAAGTTATATTATAGATGTTGCAAGTGGCTATGCAGTTATCTGATCATAAAATTGTTTCAAAAATTTGACTTTTAGGTCTACAGTAAACAACTTGATATTAGGCCTACAAATATGAAATTGCGTTTTTCTCCCGCGGCTAAAACAGTTGTAAAACGCAATTTCATATTTGTAGGGCTAATATTATGTTGTTCAAATAATTCTGTGCTCCCTAACTTCAAACATTGGCTTTGAAAGAATGCCACTAACTATTTGAATACATCTGATTTGAAAGAGAGCACAGAATTATTTGAAAAACATAGTATTTTGATGTCTATACGCAAAAAAAGGTGGCGTATTTTACAAAAATTTGTAAGTTTTAAACATTCAGTTAGAAAAACCACAGTAATCTCTTTAGACATTCTGTTAGAAAAACTACATTAATCTCCTTAAAAAATCTGCTAGAAAAAGTACAGTATTCTCCGTTTTCTTTCTTGCTTTCTTCAATCCCGATTGGTTCGAATGGCCAAACAAATTGGGATTTCTTTTGTTCGAGCGGAGAGAGCGCGTAAAGAGGAGAGACGGGGAGAGAAAACGGAGAAAAGGTCTATTTTTCAAGATTTCTCAAAAAATGTTGAACAAGAGGAACTTTTATAATACTAAAAGAACTTTTTCAGCTGTTTTTGTATTTTTAGGTATCAAAAAATTTTATTCCAATATATATATTGCAATATGTTAAGTTTTCAAAATTTCAAAAAAAAAATTTTTTTGAAAAATAAAAACCTCTTGTGACCAAAACAACCCAGTTAACCCACCATATGCAGTTAAACTTCCAAAACCCAATACAAACTTTAAAGACGCCAATTATTGCCCAGTTGAAGCGAAAGCGATCGGTCAAAACAAGGACAAGGCCGACCGAATTTGTCTCCCGTCGAGAGCATGGACACGCCCCACGGCGCGCACACCGGTGCCTAATACGATGTCCTCAACAACACTCGACTCAAGGTCGAAAAGTAAATGGATTTGAAAAAAAGGCATCGATTCGACTGGATTAGAGATTAGGAATGGAAGGTATAAGGTATTATATTATAATAGAGATCAAGTCAGATAGATGGGCTTGATGAGTTTTAAAATAAAGCCAAGGAGTAGATACATATGTTTTAGGCTTAGCAAATGTATGAGAACTAAGTTGTTAAATTATGAAAACATAGATGTTAAAAGCTTTGTCACAACAAGTCGTTTTACATATATATTTAGTTGTATGAAAAGTAATGAGCTACTGAACTCCATGTAATGTTATAAGTTATAAGACATAGCTCATTTCTTTTTATACAATTTAATAAAAATACTCAAATTTATAAAAAATAATAAGCTAATGACCATCATGTAAAGTTATAAGACGTAGCTCATTACTTTTTATACAAAATTATAAAAAAAATTTTTTTTGGCAAAAAAAACTAAAAAATTCATAAAAATCATCAAGTAATTTTTATCTTTTGATGATAAAAATTATTTAAAAATCTAGCTAAAGCATTAAATTATTTTTTTTTCGATTTTTTTATACAGTTACACCTACCTCAATATACCAAAAATCAAACTCTAAGATCTCACAATCGCAACCAATCTTTAGGCTTTTCACAATCAACATCAACCTTCAGGCTCTTCCCAATCGACACCGAACTCCCATCTCCAAACCAACCTTTTCCACACAAGCAGTAGCCCCTATGCCAGGAATCGGCAGCGCAAGGTCCTTACCAACAGATTGAATCGGATATGGATCAATAGGCTCTTCACAATCGCTCGCGCAGCCCCTTCGTTTTGTGTGCGCACCCAATTTTAGCCCCAGGCCTTTTTTCCATCCCTTTTCGTCGCCGCACACAACAATTTCCCAGATTCCTTCGGCACTCCACACGCCGACGCATTCTGACCCTGAAATTCGGCATTAAAGACAATGAGTAACGGTGAAGATGGGAGAAAAGGCTTCGGAATCGCGACACGGTAGTGAAGAAAAGGTTGTATTGTAAAATAAAATGACGTACATTGATGAAGGCTTATTGTTGGATTGTTCAAATAATTATGTGCCCTATGAATTTAAAATTTAATTTTTAGAAGGGCACAGAATTATTTAAATATCTTAGTAAAAAACTCGTATTTTACAAAAAAATATTTCAATAGCCATACAGTTAAAAAAATGTTTTTAAAAAAGTTAAAATTTTTTTAAAAAATTGATTTTTTATTATATTTAGAAGGATAGTGCCACAGGTAATCATTTGAAGATATTCTCAGAATTAAATAAAATTTTTATCAAAATTTTAAAATTTCAAATTGGCGCCAATTTTTACGTTTTTAGCTAAACTTTATTTATTTTGTTGTTCAAATAATTATGTGCCTCTAAACCAAAAAATTTGTTTTACAAAGAAGCACAGTATTATTTGAACAACCCAAATATTTTGAATCCATGATAATCATATTAAACCCAATACTCAAAGCCCTGATATTCATATTGCCACCCTCGCTATTATGACTGTTTACAACATTCAACTCAGTCGTTGGAGAAACCTGAACTGTGGAAGTAGTGGAGTTTCTTAATCGCGCTCCGTTCACAGTCCGGATATCCATTTTTGAGAGAAATCTTCAGAACAAGGTTGCTATCGATCTTCTGAATCTTTGTGTTTGTAGCCGCAAAGTGAAGACTAAATTTTGTAATTTTTGAAAATATTGTTGTAGGTTTTGGCAAAAACGATAATTTTTAAGAACATTACTACAGAGTGTGACAAGAGCAGCATTTCAAAGCGGCAATAAAAGTCTTTTATATTGGTTTGAGTGGCCAAAAACGACAAGAGTTTATAACTAATACTAAATTAAAAAAAATTTTAATTTAAAATTAGGTAACATCATACTAAAGATTTTGAATTTTAGCTTCAAAAAATTTTTTAGTACTGCAATCCCTCCATGACGCGTATTTTACCTTGCTCTAGAATTAAAAAGCCAACTTTTGTCCAAAAATTACTAAAATTGTCCGAGCCTTGCGTGAACCTTACAAAAACTAGCCGTCTAACTATCATAACCCTAGTTGCCTGAACTACTTATACCGACAATAACTTCATTTCTAAATCATTTGTTTCGGCATAACCCTAGCCAGTCATCTCTACCACCTAATCCAACAACAACCCCAGCTACCTGAACCCCCTATTCTTACAATGACTTCAGTTATCTAAACCATTTGTTTCTACATAACCCCAATCAGCCATCTAAGCCACCCATTCCTACTAAAACCCAGCTATCTCAACCACCTAATCCTACATCAACCCCAGCTACCTGAACCACCCAACCCTATAATAATATGTCCCTTGTAACAGGTTGCTGCAAAGCCCTGAGGTCTTGTTTTGTCTTGTGAGTCGACGAAGAGAGCAGTCCATCCACTTGTTTCCCCCTCTTCCTCTTCGTAGCCAAACCCCTGACTCAGACCAACGAAATCCGCCTATTGATCTGGATTTTTTTCGGATTTTACGCAAAAGATCAGGGGCTAACGTATAGAGGATAGAAGACCTAAGGGTATTGATTAAAACAATGTTGGATAAGCAATCTTAACTTAGACAGTAAACGTTCTTCTGGCCCTTAGGTTGTCTACTAGTGTACATAGACATAGACAAGAAGGCCAAAAGCCGTGGCCTGAGAGCCTAATTTTGCTTTTCCATTGCCAAAAAATAGCAAAAAATGCCCGAAATTTGCATAAATCAAAAACTTTTTTCGGCTAATTTTATGTCTTTTTTCTTTGTGCCTTCAGGCGCCGATGGAATCCCGTACCCCCTGGCGCGTGTCCGATTTAAAAACAACTGAAATTGGGTCAACGGGCCGTTAAGCGAAGCAACTAATAGTCGAAATGGTCTAATTTCTGCACGGTTTTATTAGTAACCATGTCTTACATTTGAGGGGATGGTTTTAGGTATAAAATTTTTAAAATGAGGACGAATTGGCGAATTTTACATTTATTTTCAAAAAAAAGTCATTTTAGCCAGTTTTGTAAGAATATAATGACTTCTTCCCCAAAACATGAAACTACAGTTCTTGTGTCCCCATTGTCCATACCCACACAACCACGCCAATTTCCCGCAACTTGGCCATAAATTATTGGCCAAAGCGCCGCCCTCAGTTGGATGCCGATAATCATCATGAGGTACCCCTCTCTCTCTTGCAAAAGTTCATAAACCGCGACAATTAAGTGAACACAGACACGAAAACATGCGGTAAATTACATAGAGAAGAGTGTAAAGTAAGTGGCCGAGTCGGATGAGTAATATGGAAGCGATAAAGGGTTGGGGTTGAGAGAGGGGGGGGGGTGACAGGTCAATGTAAAATAGAATCATAAAAAATAAGTTTTAAAATATTTTTAAAAAAATTTTAATTTTATCTTGAACAAACCCTTAAAAATAAAAATTTATTTGCCATACCCTCAGAAGTAAGTAGTAAAAGTAAAAAACAAAGAATCTACCCCCAAAAAATATTTTAAAAGTTAATAGTGGTCCCTCCTGTTGATTTTTGAAAAAAATTCCTCTTCTAAGCCTATTACATAGTAATTAAGCCTACCGCCAGAACTTGGTTTCTCTGGCTTACCCCCCCCCCACCTTTGACTTCTCATTTACTCTACCCCTTCCCCTCCCTAAACCTTAGTCCTTACTACTTTAATTCACACTGAATTTTAACTTTCTCCATCCCTGCCCTCTCCCAACAATATTCATATTTTCAAGAATCTCAATTTACTTTACCCTCTCCTAACCTTAATTGTTTTTCTCACTCTTACCCTACCCTGAACTTTTCTCAATTTACCTCACCCTACTCTTATTTCTTCATCTCATCCTTATCTTACCCTGAATTACTCGCAACCTACCTTACTCTACTCATAATTCTTCTCATCTCACCCTACCCTTAATACCTCTCATCTTACCTTACTTTACCCTTAATTCCTCACCTCACCCTTCACTATTCTTAATTTCTCTTAACTCGCCTTACCCTACTATTAACTCCTGTCACTTTATCTTTACCCTGCTCATAGTTCCTCACCCTAACCTACCTTTAGCTCCTCTCAAACTATCTTACCCTACCCTGCTCTTACTTCCTCCCAACTCACCCTTACTCTACCCTTAATTCCCCTCACCTCACCCTTACCCTACTCTGAATTCCTCTCACCTCACTCCTACCTTACTCTTAATCCTTCTCCCCTCACCACACGCCACCTACCCACTAAACACATTCCCACTCCTCTCGTCAAAAACTTCCGAATTGCGGCTTCCGGGCCTCGCACACACTCGCCGGGCCCAATCAAACCAGCACAAATGGTGTGGGCCGCATGGAGCGACAAATCAAAAAAGGAACGGATCGCAGGAAACAGGGCCGCATGTGACGCTTGGCTGTGAACAACAAGGGCTGTAAACGAAATACAAGTGGCAGCCGGGCGACGAGAGACGACTGCCAGCAGCCATTTTGGTCGGGTAATCATTCGGCCAGATTTGGGGAAGGGGAAAGTACAGTAGAGAGTGGTGAAACAGACGAGGGGGTTTGTGGTGGAAATGGGTAGTGGTTAGAGTTAAGGGAACTTTGAAATGGCAGTAAGGGCATAAAAAATGTTAAATGTACCCATGAAATTAAAAATTACGTAAAAATTTTGTAAAATATAAAAAAAAATTTAAAAATTGAAAAATGAACATAGAATGAACCTGTAAAAAAGCCGGGACTTATTTTTCGTCCCGAGCCTTTATATGATATGAAATATTACAAGATAATACAGTGGTCTCTCTATATAGTGAACCATCTATAAAAGCAACTTTCCTTATAGTAAACAAGAAGTTTGGCCCCGCCAGGTCTGTTAATAAGTTCAAAAAAAATTGCACTAAAAAGTCTCTCTACAACTTGTACAATAATTTAACTCTATGTTTAGTCCTTTTCGGCCAACCTTTCCAGTCTAAAATCGCGTTCAAAATGGCAGTAAAACACAAAAAAAACTATTAAAACCAATTTAAAAAATAAAAAAATCAAAAATTAAAAAAAAAATAATTTTATTATAATTTTAAGTTTTCCCATTTCAAAAACTTTAAAATCTGTTAAGTTTTAGATAAATCAAGACCTATGTTTCTGCCTATGTTTTTGTTTTCAAAAACAAAATTAAAAACGAAAAAAGAAGCCAGCCGCTTGCCTATTCGCTTCTTGGCCATAAAAACAAGAGGAAGCTTCCTTTCAGTGGCCAATCGCGCTCAAAACGTTTGTAATTTGATCTTTTTTGCTTGGTATGTACACTGTCGACTATACCTAGAGTAAGGCGTATTTTACAAAAAATTTTAAAGTTTTTAAAAATTTTTCAAAAATTTATCGACATAGCAAGCTTACATTGCTCTGCCTTTGCCCTGCCTTTGCCCTGCCTTTGCTCTGCTTTTGCTCTGACATGTTAGAATAGTGCCAAAAATTAAAAAAAATTTGAAAAACTAAAAGCAGAGTTAGCAAAAACCAGCCAAAGCCAAGTGTAATAGCAAGCGACAAAACTTTCCCCAATATGACAGCCAAAAAGGACCCGAAATCAACTCAAAAAAGGCAATCAAGCATGGTGAAGGTCGTTGGCCAAGATGACCAGTTTTAGAGACACAAGATCCGTCCAACGATAAAAAAAGCGATCGGTTTGTCACTAGTTTGGGCTTGTAATTATAAGTTTTGTAAGTTGGGGGGGGAAGAACGGGTATGGTAAAAATATTGAGAATAAAGATGTGGTAAAAATATTAATAGTAGGGTAGGGCAAAAATGATAAAAATTTTCAAAAATAATGTAAAAAACAACTTTCCACCTTATAAGCCTAAAAAGTCTCAGCAATTAGCCTCCAAAACCTTGTACAAAAGGGCCTTCGAATGGGTTTTATTACAAAAATGGGCCATAAAAGTCTTTAGAAGTCTCGAAAAGGTGCGATTCATAAAAGCGGAAAGGGATCAAACAGTTTTGTCGCGTGGCCATGAAGGCCAAAAACTAAGGTGTGGCCGGCTATAAAATGAAGATTTCGGGGGATGTTTTTGGGAAAGTGCAAAAATGGTTTTTCAGCTGTTTTAATTGAAAAAAAATAGAAAAAAAATTTTTTTGCATTTTTTTCCAAATTTTTAAAAATAAAAATTAATCATTCATATCACCCCCCTCTTATCATAATATTACTTCACCTGACATACCCTAACCTTCTAGCTCCTTCTCATACCCTTTTCTTTCTCCCTCCTCTTCCCCTCCCCATCCTACCCTTACTTCAAGTCCCCCTTCCCTATATCTTCCACTTCTTCACCCTCCCCCCCCCCTCACATACCAATACCTATACCTCCCACCTCCATTACTGGGCTAATAAAAAGAAAAGAAAACAAATGATTACAAATTGAAATTACCGATGGAAACTGGGTGTTTTGCGTCGAATGGAGTCGGTCTTCAAGTCGAGGCCAATTCAAGGAAAGGGTGAAGAAAGGAAAAGGGCCGCGACAACAAACAAGACAAACTACATGGCTCAAGATTTGCTGTTCAAACTTGGTGATTGTTGGTTTTGTATGACTGCGGAACCAGTAGACTTCGGGTTTTGATTAGTTTTTGCGAAAGTTTGAGGTTTG